GCTTATCTCCCGTTCCAGAGCTTTGAGCTGCACTTGCGCAGTTTTATCTTACTTTAACCCAGATTTAGGCAATGTTCGTGTCTGGATTTTGGATTGCGTGGCTTGTTGCATTTGTTGACTGGGCACAGAATTTGCGGCCTTTTTGTCAGGTGAAAATTAAGGTGAAAGGCGGTTTTTGCCAGCTACTGTTTGGTGTTCAGTGCGGAATAGAGAGATTTACTTTCGGATTTGCCTCATTTGGTAGATGGGTGGATAAGCGATGATTTGTATTCATAAAGAGCTGCTTTAGATGGTTAGCTGAAGATATACCATACTTAATGTGTTGAAAGTTTAAAACTTTTCGGTGAGGTATAAGATGATTTTATGCTTTACTTAACTACACTCCTGGGAATACATGTATCTTGGTGTTGAGATAAGAAACAAATTCAATTTTAGGCTGAATTTTATTGCTATTTTTATGACTATTAAATCGATTTTCTGGTTGATTTATAAGGAACAAATATATGTCTGTAGAGCAAAGTCTTGTTAAGAAAACAAGAATGTTTCCTGATTTAAAATATATATTTTTATGACATTTTTAAACAATTTAAAGGCTTATAAACTAAGCATATAATAGCAATGCTTGCTTTATAGTTCCTTTACCCATAAACATGTCTATACAATCCATATAAATTATTTGAATTTCCTTTTAAAAGTTTTCTTTAAATACTCTTCCATTAAGGCCTGGGCAAACTGTTTTCAATTTAGAACCCCTCTCTCTTTAAAAAACCCAAACAATTTAATTAAATTGTGACGAGTGTGTGTGTGTGTGTAGGCTTGTGGTGTCGTCTTGGCTTCAATTGAGTTTGGCTTTTGTTTTGTCGGAGGGGGTTTGTTTTGAATTTCTCCAACATTTAATTTCGTTTGCGCGCAACAACCAAAAAAACAATTGAATATTTTTTTATTATTCAATTATACTCAAGCGGAGGCAGTAAATGCATTTTTGGTGGGGGCACAGAGGAAAGACCTACGTATGCATTTCCAATTTGTATTCTACTGCAGTGCCAGGCCCCAAAAAAAAATTGAAAGCCAAGTTCCAGGCCCAAAACCGACTCCAAATCCATATCCCCAATCGACGTCATCGTCTCCTCGCCTTGTTTATCAAGTAGGCGGAGGCACACAGGCAGTTCGGTTCGATTCGGTTCGATTGGATTCGATTTTCGATTTGGTAGAGGAATGCATTTCCCATTTTCCTTTACCAAAATGTGTAGGGAAAACTCCGCCCTTCAAGCAGCACTAATCTGTTTATGGCAGCGAGATTCTATTAATATTTTTCCTTTCGGGGGCCCCGTTAAAGTGTTGGAAGTTTTATGATCAGAGCCCAGTGGAAACTTTGCCCAAATTGACTTTGGCATATCGCTCGGTCATAATTTAAAATATTTAAATGCTTCTGGCTATGATTGAAGAATGCAATCACCCGACGGCCACTTGAGAAGGTTTCACATTTTTCATCATTCAAATGGATGGATTTTCTGTCCCCCATTCTATTTCCATTTCAATGTGAAGTTCATTGTAAAGTACAATATATATCCATTGGTTTCATTTGGCGGGACTGAAATTCATATTTTAATGGCAGGCCAGCAGTTATTAATAAATTTTGTATTGCCTCCGTTGATTGTTATATGGAAATGGTTTCATCCAGCGAGGGTGGAAGAGGGAAGATTCTATTTATTAGCTAAGGGAGACCCCTTGGTGTGTGACAAGTGACAAATGCAGAGAAGATATAAAATTAAATGTGTGAGCCGAAATCAAAATCAGTTTGAAGCCTGCGGGTCTCTCTTTTTCTTTGTATTTTGCCAGCAGCCCCCCCGTTGAAGATTCAAACAAACAAACCCCGTGGGCAAGTCCAAACAAACAGTGTTTATGGCACCCATACCGGCACATCCTTGCAAGCATCCACTTCATCATCGTCATCATCAGCATCGACATATGGGAACATCAAAGTACGCGACGACATCAGTTCGTCAAAAAAGATGAGACGCGCGGCTTCGGGTTCTAATTTGTTCCTTATTGCAGTCTGCAGAATCTATCATCACTTCATGACCCGCGCGGTGATGGACAGACAGACGACCCCGTTTACCCTCGATTCGGAAATCCTACCATATGTTTGCCTCAGGCTCAAGACGCCGACTTGACTCGGTTTCAGCCTGCGATAATTTCCCCTTTTGTTGGAAAATGCAGTGGGAAAAATATCTTATAAATTTGCAGGCCAAAGGAATTTATAGAATATGGTATGATAACTAGACAAATTCTCTTTGTTGCTTAAAATTCCCAAATGGTTTAAGCAAACATTTTTATAATAAGTAAGCTCTCTCCTAAAAGATCTCTCTTTTATCAGGAAAGAAAATATTCCTGAAAACGTATTCCTCTATTTATTTAGAAAAAGGTAACCTATAATTTTGTTTAATCTAATGATTTTTTGATTTTTTTTTTCTCAGTGTCATATGCGATAATTTCCCGTTGTCTAGCGTTATCTACGTGTGGGTGCTTGTGTTATGTTCTAGTTTTAATGAGTTTCCACTCGACGGAGTATTTCAGGACAATAGTCCTTGAGGCGCCTGCTGGCGCCAGTTGCCCAACAATCTGTTGTGTCCTGGATTCTCGGATTGCCTGCAGACATGCATCCTTGTGCATCTTTTATCGCTGTTTTTGCAGCTGCTTATCAGCCGGGAAATTCGACACCTACTTGGCAGATTCGTGTTTACAACTTGAGGTTCTTTCTTGAAATAAAGTTCCACACATGAGAGGGAAAAACTTATTGAAGCATGGAAAGAGGCCTGACCCCTGGACTGGCAGAGCAACTCATTAGTCATTTCAGCCAATCAATCACTCAAGTTTGCTTTGGGTTAATTGTTTTCCGTAAACAATAAGCCAGAAATACCACGACCAAGCCCCCTTTCGCACATGGAGATAGGAGTCCAACAGATGGGAGAAGGAAAATTTGGGTCGATGGGAATTTTCATTAGTTCGAGACAGTCATTAGCTCGATTTTATGATGTCTCACCCATTAAGTAGTTTTTCCCCCATTCACACCCCCCATTTTCTCTTGGTCTTGGAATTTCTTTTAATTTCCAATTTTGCGTGAAAAACCCCAAAGTAAACAAATCAACCAGCCAGGCGTAAATAAGTGTGTGCAAAAACACAAGATTGTTTATTTTTCGTATATTAAATAAATCCATCAATCTTAGTTGCCGAATTAGTACTGATACCTTTATAGTTTTATGGAAAGAATGGTGGCAAAAGTATAGCCCACCTTGTTCTATATATTTTATTGCACGTGATCCATCAATTAGCTATATATAGAAAGGTTGGAATTAATGCCCCTACATTTTAGGCTTTCACTTTGGTTCTTTTCTTCCAAATAAAGCCCCTTGTTATTATGTTATTTATAATCTACACGTGTTAGTCACCTAATAAATGGGTTAAAGGCAATACGTATTTGGCTTTCAAGTTGGAAATTTAAGTAATAAATTATTAATAATTTAATATTCCACTCTTTCGCTCTTTCGTTGATCAAAATGGAGAATAAACCAGGTCGATAAATCGCCTGAGGCTTTCCGGAAAGACTTCAGTTCCTTGCTGTTTTCGCAAAAGAAGTCAAAAAGCCTCCTTTATTCCCAAAGAGACAGCTGCAAGCAAGAAGGAGAAATCCGCTTTACAACAAAGCAAAGAAAAAATAAAAAATATAAATAAAAAAAACATATTTTTATATATAAACACGCTCTCTCTCTGAACAACTTGGCGGCCTCTTCATGATTTTGCGTTAAACGGCGGGTGTGGTACAAAAATAAATACAACAGAATCTTGTGTTTTTTTTATACTCTTTTAGCATTTTGTGACGCGTTGCGTCGTGTAAAACAAAAAGCCCTGACGCGTGTGACATTTGGCGCTGGAGAGTGACTTTTGAGCAAGAGTTTCTCGGTCGCAAAAAGGGGAGAAGCTGGAAAACTGAAATGCTTTTTCGAGGGAGAAAAACAGAGGGAGTTACTGGGGGGCTGCTCGGGTTTATTGTTTTCTCGTGTTGGCCGCAGGAGTGGAGTGATTGTGCCTCCGGGGTCTGCGTGTCCACTTTTCAACTTGTACATACAAACAGTTGGGGTTAAGATAATAGGTCCGAAACCTTGACTTTAATATAGTAAAAACGTTTGAGAAAAGTTACTGTAAACTTATATTATTTAAAATTACAAATATAATTTTGGAATATTTTTAACGAAAGTATTACTTATCGATGGAGTTTTAAAAACATTAATTTGAGGCTCAAAAGTATGCTACAAAATTTTCAATATTTTGTTTTGAATTAATTATATAGTTTAATTATCTAATTATCCCTTTAGATAATATATTTTGATTAATTCCTTATAAAATATTTTAAATATTACATTTTAAAGACCTATTTGAATGACCCCATCTGTATCCTTGCCCTGCATGCAAGTGCGAAACGCAGCTGTATCTGCGAGATACTGAGACCTGCCAGGGTTGTCAGACATCTGGGCCGTCTGGCGGGTCGCATTAATTAGACGTGTTTTGTGCGAGATGTGCTTGTCCAAAAGTCTGGCCCCGTATCTATACGATATTATTTATGAACCTGCTAATTTTAGCCCTGCCCCTGGCCTGAAAAGGCTCCTATTGGTCCTCAGCGAGACTGAGTATGAGTGATGCTGCTTCTAGCCTTATCAGAGTATCTCAACAGGCCCGGCAACATGTTAGGTGATTATCAGAGAAGCAGAAACATTCACTTTGCCTTAATTTCGGGCTCAAGTTGTCGGCAATTTGGATGCCTGGCGGCGTTGACTTTAAGCCTATTAGACACACCGCCACAGCACCGCAACAAAAGCTTTGTTCAGCGGGGGAATCTACATAGGTGCGGCGACCCATTGCCTTGTACCGCAAAGTATTTTGTAATTAACAGCATTTACAACACCTTAATGAATGTCTCCTTGTTTCCTCTCCTCCCGTTGCAGCACACACCGTTACTGCTAAGCATTCTCCTGCCCTCGACGAGTTCTCAACTCACACTGTGATACGTCCCCAGGTGCAACATGGACGCACCAAGCGCAGCCTGCCAACCACTCTGGACGCCACCGTAAGTAGATAAGGAAAATATTTAATTATTTGGGATTAATTATAGGCATACTTCGGGAAATTTATGAAAAAGCTGTTCTTGGTAAAGATTTCAGTATTTTAATTAGGAAATTTGGCAAGAAAGTCTCGCCCGTTACCGCTGTTCAAGAAGATATTTATGGGGTCGAAAATGACCCCTTCACTGCTTTCCAAGCTTCTGACTTAAATTATAAAACCGTGTAAGGGTATAACAAAATTACAAATACAGCTTAATTTACCTTAAACCACAAACAAGCTGGCATTATCCATAAATCATGTAAATGTAATTTCTGCAATAGTTGGCCATAAATTTGCCATGTTATTTCACACATTTATGCTGCTGTAGATAATGAGTAAAGCCCCCACTTAAAATTCGTTACAAAATTACTCAGATATTTGGAACATTTTCAACAATTTTCACCCCCACAGGACGGTAAGGTAATTAAAATTAACCCGAAAATAAAGTCACGAAAAATTGCGCGAAATTCGTTGCATGCCACGGGGGCGCTGACAAAAAGCCAAGCCCCCTTTTAATTAGTTCCAACAAGCATCCACCCCACAAAAACACACATGTACATGTGAGGGGTGGGATTTGGGGTGGAATGCCAGTTAACCCCTGCGGCCAGCAGGACATTACACATTCGCACCTCGACTCGCCCACAATTTGCATGCGAAAATGAAATAAAATTGGGACTGAAAATGGCTTAATCCCCCGTTAACGCTATCTCTGGCTTTGCTCTTTTCCAGGACGGCCTTCACACGCCGCACATCAGCCTGAGCTACACCCATGAGGGCAGGCGAGTGACCATCGACCTGCAGCGAAATGATCGCCTGCTGCCGGAGCACCACTTCCTGCGCTATCAGAACTCGAGCAGAGCGGCTACTGGGGGTAAAGGCGGCGACGTTGTCCGCAACTTTACCAAGACTGAGGTTGATTTATGCCACTATCAGGTACGTTACAAGAGTCCTTTAAAGCACAGAGAAAAAAAGTAAATACTTAAGGATAACTTACAAATTATTTATTATTACAACAACTAAATTTAAAGCTTTTTTAAACAAATAAATATTTTTAAAATGTTATATTTGATTGTAAAGTTTATTTGAAATTTTCCTTACATTTTTTTCGTGTTATAATTTCTATTTCCATTTGGTTAACTTTCCCTCCAGGGACACATTCGTGGCCAACCGGACTCTGTGGTGGCCCTCTCCACCTGCGATGGTGCCTTGGATGGCATCGTCTTCGATGGACAGCACACCTACTTTATCCATCCCCATGTGGACAGCACGGGGCGACTGCAGGATGACCACTATCTGTTCAGGTGAGTTGCAGGTTTATTTTTTTTTTAGCAACTTAAATTGGTTTAGCAGAAGTGTGCAAAAGGTAGAAGAGGATAGGGCCCAGGGTATATTAATTACTGGGCTAATTTTGTTAGCTTTAGAGTGGCAGTTTAAGCATAAGTAACAAGACTTTAAACCTTTGTAATCTTACTAAACGATTATAAAGGTGCAAGTTAAAACAGAGGTAGGAAATTTATTTATATATATATTATAACAAAAGTTATAAGCTATTTCTTTAATAATCAAATTTAGTCTCAAGGTCTTAAAGTTATTAAAAATATTCCCTAATTGAATTTGCATTTCTTTACATCGATCTATACGTAATATATCCCATTTATATATCTTACCACCGCTTATCTAATCGCGTTTTTTCACCCTAAAAAAAGTATATATATTCTTTGCTCACTTGTCATAAATGTTTGCGGTTGATAGCCGCACGGGGGTCAGTTTTGGCTAGCCAAATGTTTACCTATTTGCAGGCCATAAATATTTGCCTTTTGTTTCGGAAATATTTGCCCAAGGCCCGAAACCAAACCCGTAGCCAAACCAGAACCAGAACGAGACCCAAAAACCCATAACCAAAATGCTCTCATTCATTATGTTTATGTGGTGCCAGCGCCACTTCCGTTATTAATTCCTTTTGTGGGCCACGGAAATATCAAATTACCTTCGATTTGTTCTTGTTTTTTTACAGACAGGCGGACATGGTCCCAACGAATGCCACCTGTGGCTACGAAAGCCATAATCATGACCAGAATGAAGAAGCGGCGGTAACCAATGGAATTGGGGAGAGTCCTTTACTGCCACACCGCCTGGATGGCGGTGAATTCCAACGCAACCTGCTCCGGAAGCGGCGCCAGGCAGACGACAGCAGTCAACTGATCCGGGGTCCGTACAATGCCAACAAATACTCCAGCTATGTGGAGTTGGTCATCGTGGTGGACAACAAGGTGTACAAGCACTTCCAGGAGAGCGCCAAGAAGGTGCACCAGCACTGCAAGAATCTGGCTAATATTATAAATTCGGTAAGATTTTCCATTAAAAGGATCCCCCAAGATCAAGGCTTATTTCCTTTACTTCCTCCTCAAGCTCTACGTTCCCCTTAACATCTTTGTGGCTCTGGTGGGGGTGGTTATATGGAACGAATCGAACGAGATAGAGTTCTCCAGCGATGGCGATGTAACCCTGCGCAACTTCCTCAACTACCGAAGCACCAAACTGGTGGTGGATCATCCCAACGACAATGCCCAGCTGCTGACCAAAGAAACCTTTGCCGGCGGCGTCGTAGGCAAGGCTCTAAAGGGTCCCATTTGCACATACGAGTACTCCGGCGGCGTGAGCATGCAACACAGTCCCAACACTGCCATGGTGGCCACTACGATGGCTCACGAGATGGGTCATAACTTTGGCATGGAGCACGATTCCCCCGACTGCAACTGTCCAGACGAAAAGTGTGTGATGGCTGCCTCGAGTACCTCGGTGGTGCCTGTAAGCTGGAGCAGCTGCAGCATTGACCAGCTCACGATAGCCTTCTCGCGCGGCATGAACTACTGTTTGAGGAACAAGCCGGAGAGGCTCTTCGAGTCCCCCACCTGCGGCAATGGCTTCGTGGAGCCCGGGGAGCAGTGCGACTGCGGGTTGCCCAAACACTGCACGAATGCCTGCTGCAATGCCGAGACCTGCATGCTGCACTCCAATGCCTCCTGTGCCACTGGAGAGTGCTGTGATTTGGCCACCTGCCGTCCCAAAATGGCGGGCAGTGCCTGCCGAGAGGCGGAGAACGAATGCGATTTGCCGGAATACTGCACCGGAGAGTCTGAGTACTGTCCATCGGATGTGTTCCGCCGCGACACGGAGCCCTGCGATGGGGGTCAGGCCTACTGTTATCATGGCAATTGCCGCTCCCACTCGAATCAGTGCCGAACTCTGTGGGGACCCACTGGGGACAACTCGGAGCATTGCTATGACAAGAACACCCTTGGCTCAAGGCTGGGCAACTGTGGCTATAATCGATTGAACAAGACCTATGTGAGCTGCCCTGCGGAGCATGTCAACTGTGGCATGCTGCACTGCATCCACTTGAACGAACGCCTGGAATTTGGTATGGAATCGGCGGCTGTGCTCTCCCATTCCTACATCAGTCACGACCGCAAGATTGTGGCCTGTCGCACGGCCCTGGTGGACCTGGGACTGCAGACCACCGATCCTGGCCTGGCGCCGAATGGAGCCAAGTGCGGCGACGACAAGATGTGCGTGGACCAGCGCTGCCTGCCAGTGGCTACGGTGCGCCAGAAGGGCATGGGTACGCCCTGTCCAGAGGATTGCAATGGGAATGGCATATGCAACAGTCGCGGGCATTGCCACTGCGATGTAGGATTCGGCGGCGAGTCGTGCTCCAGAGCGGGATCTGGAGGCTCCCCAGACAGTGGACCAGCCACGGATCCAAATGGTAAGCAAAGGGTTTTTCTTAAGATTAATTTGATTGAAACAACCTTGATTTCTCTTCGATTTTCTACTAGGCTCCGTTGGTCTCAAGCGATTCTTGTACGTGCTCTTCTTCTTCGTCCTGCCCGTGGTGTTAATCTGTTGGTTCCTCTTCAACTGCTACAAGAAGGGCTTGTTTGAACGCGGAAAACTGGCGGATAATATGTATGTATCGACATCCTCCTTCAGCAGCAGCAGCGGCTCGAAGGGGAGCAGCAACAGCAGCCCCGACAGCAGCAGCAGCCTCACTACCCCACTAGCATCCACCCTGCCACCTAATGCACCACCCAACACCTCACCCACTAAAACTGTCCCGGTTACGGTTCCGGCTCCGGCCACCATTACTAACATACACTCTACCCTGCCGCGCCACAAGTCCAACCCAGATGCAGTGCATCATGTCCACATTCAGCCGCCCAGCGTGCCCAAGAGCAAGAGCAGTCACGAGGTGAGGCGCAAGCTCTCCGCCATAACCACGCAAGTGGTGGACCTTCGTGGCTTGTGCTCCAGCTCTTCAAGCTCATCCACCTCAAAGAACAACAACACCGAGTCACTAAACAACAACAACAACAGCACACTGAGCGTGCGGCGCAAGCTGGACATAACGGCTCCACGGCTGCATGCCACCACGAATCCACTGGCCCTCACCGAGGGCGCCCAGTTCATACAGAGCGACCCCGCGAGGTGTGCCACCAACCAAACTAATACACAAACATAACCACAAAAGCTACAGTGAACGCTGCCTTAAACTGCCCCACAATACTCTGCATGATACTAAGCTTGGCCACTGGCTTTTTTCTATCCTTGCAGGGTTTTTATATATTTTGAGGAATTTTAATGAGCCTTAGATTTTATTTTATAGAATAGCAAACATTTAATGAGATATTAAGGGAACTTGATATATTCTTTGAAATTATTTTCAGAATATATTAAAAAACGTTCGTTTATGATATTAAAAACGATAGTTTTGTGGGTTTCAAGCGGACAAAACGCCTGTTTCAGGCTCTTAAACGATAATAACGATACTCGTTCGCTATTCTTCAGTTTGCGCGTCAGATTTTTAACATTTAGCGATACTATTTAATATTTTTAGCGGATATTTTTCGAATTCATTCTCACTAAGTCCGTTTTTTTGTCTGCTAGGTATTACATTGATTTTATCTAAATTATTTAAAATGATTATAAATTCAAGCTGAAATATATATATTTAGTTTTTTACAAAACGAAAAAGATTGTGGTAACTAAAAATCTCCAAAAGCTCAAGGATAATTATTTACATAGTTAAAATTACAAAAATATCTAGAAAAGGAACTATAATGATTTTTGAAAAAGGGGTTTGTAAATTTGTAAGGTATACAATTTTTAAAGTCTTCCTACTTATAAAACTTTTGTATTTAAGAATTTACTCAATTCAAACCTTTTTAATCTAGAGAGAGATAACAAGTTACTCAATCCAAACCTTTTTAGTCAAGAGAGAGATAACAAGTTAGGTACCAAAATTCAGGAATAATACCTGCAAGGATATTCCCCCAATTTCGTTGTTTCCGATTACAACTTTTTTTTCATTCCTAACCCAAGATACCCTTTTTTGCATGTTTTAAACAACCATAATAAACCCCACCAACTTTTTACTAACTCAGCCTTAATTTGTGTTTTGTTTCCTAGTTGTATAAGATCCTTGTTTTATGTGTTGTGCTTTCAATAAATGTTTACTGTTTTAATTGCTTATGGGTGTTGGCTTTATGTTTGTATTTGTCTTGCTATTTTGGAATGTTTCTTTACTATCGCCTAGCACTGGTTTTGGTTTTATGCACGATTACACTATCCTTGGTATGTTACACGAACTAGCACTTTAAACTTTCCCTCTTCATTCCCTTTGCTTCCCAACTAATCTCATTAATTCCATGTCCTTGCAGCTCGAAACCCTCGGGAGGCAGCAAAGTCATCACCACGCGTACCAATCAAAATGGCAGTGGTCCACCTCCCGGAAATGGAGGACTACTCAAGTCCACGCCCAGCAGCACCGATGACATGGATGCCGCCCTGCTGAAACAGCCCACTAGTGATGCAGTGGGTCCTGCGGGACTGTTTGGAAAATTCGAGGGCTTCACCCTGCGTCCGCTGAATGATGCCACCTCACCGGGCAGCAATTACAGCGGTCCGAATGTGGCCTTTGTGCAGCCCACAGTGCAGCAGGATACAGGACCACAACGAATGGCACCACCACCTCCAGCAGGAGCAGTCAAGTCAGGTGCAGTGCCAGTTCATGCGCCCAAGCCAGAGGCCACCTGGGTCAGGCCGGCGCCAGCCCTGCCACCCCCAAATCCTGGCTCCACGGCGCGACCCATTATCTCGCCACCCACCTTGGATTCGAGCACATTAACCATGGTGCCGCTCAAGGGCAGTGCAGACGAGGATCTTTCGCCTACGCGATCCGCGCCAGCTCCGCCAGTACCCCTGCATATGGATCCCAAGCTGAATGTCAAGAGGGACGGCACCATCCGACGCTTTGCCTCGTTCCTCAAGAAGGAGGAGAAGCCGCCGCTGAAGGAGAAGACCTACATTGATCGGGAGAGGCTGCGCACCCTGGAGATATCCGCCCCGATGCCCGTGCCCGCTGCACCCCAAACGGAGTCCTCCAACTCCGATTCGGAGACCACGCCACGCGAAGAGGAGACCCAGAATCTAGTGAAGCGCGCCCAGTCCATGCGATCGCCCACGAAAAAGACGCCACTCCAAAGCTTTGGCTCTATGCGTTCGCCACCGGGATTACCGCGTCCCAAAAGCGGTCAGGTGAACAGCAGTGGCACCTCCAGACCCAAGTCGCCACCACCAAGACCGCCACCGGTAACGATCAAGAAAACCAATTCCATTGGATCCACGGGCTACCAGAGACCGGTGTCCACGGCCCAGAGATCCGTGGAGAATACCTACGACGACTGCGAGTTTGTGGAGGAGGAGGTTCGGGCCTCCAACGATGATATATACTCCGTGATTGATGAGATTCCGCCGGCGGCCCAGACCCTCAAGCGGAGCGATCTGGTGGCCAATCGGGCGAGCAATGGCAGCGACATGGGATTACTCAACGAGATAGTTAACGAGCTGGAGAAGATCAATGGAGATTCCATATATTCGGGGAAACCAGTAGCCACAGGAGTTGCAGCTCCAGCTGATCCCCCAAAGAGTCCCCAACGACCGGCGCCACCCAAGCCGGCGAGCAGTGTCCTGGAGGAAAAAGCAGCCGCTGCTACCACATATCATCGCCCGCCGCCAGTCAATGCACCGGTGGCTCGGGTCAAGCCCACACTGGCGGAGAAAACACAGCCTCCGAGTATGTCCAGCTTCAAGCCGCCGGCAGGAACCGGTGGAACCATCCAGCCAGCGCCAACTGTTGTCCAGGACAAGCGGAGCAGCAGCGGCAGCGTTAACGGAGTAGCCTCCCGACCCAAGTCGTTTCTGAAAAGCACAGCGAAAACACTGCCCAATGGTACGGCGGGAGCGGCGGCCACGACTGCACCCTCGGCCACCATACAAAAACCGAAGCCGCTCTCGGCCAAGCCATCGTTCAGCGGCGGAGGAGGAGTCCTGGGCAAGCGGACAACGCCGCCCACAGTAAAGACGGTAACGGCAACGCCGCCAAAGTCCAATATAGCATCGCTGACACAGCGATTCGAGCAGAGCAAGTAGACTAAGGAAAAGACCGAGGAAGGGGGGGAAGAAGGGATAAGGAGCTAGACCAAGGGCATGGGCAGGAAATGTAGATTGGATGAGAAAGGAAGAGAAGATTCTTTTCCTCAACTGAAATTATTACTATTTTATTTATTATTCCAAATTTATATACTTATTTGACACCATTTATTTTATATTTTATTTTGAATTATTTTAAATTGTACATGAAATAGCTTAAAATCCACAAATTTATTAATTTTTAAATCCTTAAAAATTTGGCCTGCGGCCTAAAAAAACATGTTTTTTATTCTTTCCTCAAAATTAATATATTTATATTTATTTTTTAGTTTAACAAAGGACAACATATTTGTATGTATATACGCTTAGTAATACTCTTAATTTAAGACTTAAAATATAATTAAAATTAACCAGAAATCTTTATTTTTAAATTTATTATTTGTAAACAAAAACATTCACTATGTTTAAATAAGAGGTTCTAATATGAAAAGGCTTTAAAAAACCTTCTTGAAATGAATTTTAATTTAATTTCTTTAAAACAAAATTAATTTCTAGCCACATTGTGATTTTAGGCCCATGTCCTTGGCTTTGCTCCGCTCCATTTCGACTTTTGAGTTAGTTTTTAGTTAATATAACGATCAAAAAAATTTAATTTTGGCACTGACTATGCCTGAGACTACGACTGCGTCGTCCCTGATATTCATTCCTTTACCGATCGATGTGTCCCACTAGTTAGACGTTAAGGCTTTGCTTAACCCCTGTGCTAAGTATGAATGTATCTCAATTTGTTAATCTTAGAGCGCATTTTAATTTAGAGCCTAGCGTTAGCCGAGTATTTTATATGTGTATCTATAATCCTGTATCTATTACTCCGACAGTAGTCCATGTATTTATGTATATGCAATATGCTTTTGTAAATAAAAACCAAAGATGTTCAATTGTCACAGCAAATGCGCCGCCCCTCTCGAGGCAATCAATTATAAAGTGTTGTACAGCTGGGATATTGATGATTTATGAATAAAAATAGTACGAGAATTCGATGCATTAGCGAAATCAATTTTAAATGTCTAAATGTTGCAAAGAAAAACTACGTTGTATGCCCCTAAATATTTAAGAACGATATCGAAATGTGTATAGAGCCCAAGTTATGTTAATGAAATATAAGTTTAACTAAATTCAAGGAGAGTGTGTTTCGTATTTGTGGGGGGAAAATTATATTTGGGGAGAATAAAGTTTAAAAAACATTTTTTAACAAAAAGTTTATAATTAAAAGTACACATACATTTTGGTTTTTGGGGGAAAAAATTAGTAATTTTTGTGGGGAAAGTAGATTTAAACAAGAAAGAAAGCTAACTTTGGCCAGCCAAAGTTTGTATACCCTTGCAGGTAACAATTAAAATATATCATAACTAAGCCAATAATGGATTAATTTCGATTCGGAAAGCAGTTTTGTGTTAGTTTTTATTAATTTAAAAAAACTGCATACCAAATTTAAAATTTTAAGAAATCAAAATTTTTGGCCATTTTTGCTAATTTTAATGATGTTACCCCTTATAAAATTTCGCAAAAATGGCCAAAAAATAGATTTCATCCGTACATGTCTAGAAAGATTCCCCTGTTCATGCTGATCAAGAATATATATGGTTTATAGGGTCGGAAACGTCTCCTTCACTGCGTTGCAAACTTCTGACTGAAATTATAATAGCCTGCAATGGTATAATACATATAATACAATAAATATAGTTCAAATTTGGCGCTTCAATTTATCGAACTATCGATTTTTAGGAGCCATTTTTAATAACACAAAAAATCACCACCTGGTAACACTGCAAAACAAGAAGAAGAGCAAAATCTAAAAATGAGCGCACGAAAGGTAAACAATTTGAATTTACTGGCTTTTAAAGGTAAATAACAAAGAATTAACTGCACAGAAAACCTGGGCCAGGAGCGCCTTCAGCGAGATGAGCCTTTCGGTCAGTCCAGCCACCACAGAAGCCACTCCCGTCAAGCGGAGCAGAACTTCATCCTATACGACAACAACAACCCGAGTTTCCAGGTCTCAAACTGGAAAATCGACGCCAACAGCAAAACCCTTGGTGGAGGAGGACTCCGTGGATCTGACTGTTCTCTCTGATAAGGAGGAGGATTCCCAGGGACCCCCACCGGAAGTCAAGGAAAACTGGATGGACAGCTTTGCTCCAACAACCAGCGAGGACTTGGCAGTTCATCCCAAAAAGATTGCAGAACTTCGCGATTGGCTGCGACACTGCGTAGCCGTTGGCAAAAAGTTCCCCGCCCAAATGTGTCTGCTCACGGGACCCACAGGCGCCGGCAAGACAGCCACGCTGCGTGTCCTGGCCAAGGAGTTCGGCTACCAGGTGCAGGAATGGATCAATCCCGTCGACTGTGAGGTGGTCAATGCTTTGGGTGATCAAGTCAGCGGCAATGCCTATGTGGGTTCACACTTGGAGGCTTTCAAGAGCTTTCTGCTGCGCGCCTCGCGGTATAAATCGCTGCTGGAATCTCAGAATAAGAGACTGCTGCTTGTAGAGGACTTTCCCAATGTTTTGCTTGACGAGAAACAGGATGTCAACTTTGAGGAGTTGCTGGAGTGAGAAGCCTAACTTAGAAAAACTATGGAATAAGAGAAGTTTATGTATACTCCCTTTCCCTTCCAGTGAATACTCTTCGTATGGCAAATCCCCCTTGGTGTTCATTGTGGCCGATTCCAAGTCTCGTGGCCTGAACATCAGCTACCGTCTGTTTCCGGACCAACTAAAGGCAAAACATCGCATAGAGCACATTAGCTTTAATGCCATTGCCTCTACGATTATGCAAAAGTCTATGAAAGCCTTCTGTTCCGTGATGCAGCAGCCGCAGAACAAGGCCCTGTACAAGCTACCCTCGTCCTCTGTTGTGGACTCAATAGTTGTGGGCGCCCAGGGTGATGTACGTAATGCGCTGATCAATCTGCATCTCAGCTCCTTGAAGGGCGTGGCCAATATGCCCACCAAGAAACTTGACATAAGCGTGGCCAGCAAGGGTCGCAAGAAGAAGGCCACGCAGAGTACCCTAAAATCGATTGGAAGAGATGAATCCATTACCCTGATGCATGCCTTGGGTCGCGTTCTCAATCCCAAGTGTAAGTGGGATTTCCCTTCCTCAAATTTCTTCCTTAATCTTTGATTTTTTTTTTTTTTTCAGTTAATGATCAGAAAATGCTGCTGCACAGCCCCGAGGAATTAACCGAATCCTTTAGCACGGAGCCCAGAAACTTTGTTAACTTTGTGCATGCCAATTATCTGCCACATTTCAAGGACATCGAGGAGGTGGTATCTGCCATAGATGACTTGGGCCTGGCCGATGCCCTGCTCAACGAGTATCGTGAAGGTGCTGTGAGTGTAACGGGTTTGAATATTGCCATTCGTGGTGTAATGCTGGCCAACAGTGCCCCTGTCAGCGGTTGGATGCCAGTCAAGGGGCCAAAGCGTATAAACATCAAGTCGCTGGCCACTTTGGCGGAACAGAAACTGGTCGGTGTGGGATATGCTGGCATTTCCAGGACACACTATGCCACTGAATACAGTTCGTTTGTGAAAAGCATAGCCAGCAGGCTTTCGGAGGTTAATTCAAGCCAAAGTATGGAATTAAATTAGAAAAAATTAAATATAAAAAATTTGCTGAAAGTGTATTTAAAGAGAGTGATCTTAGAATTAAGAGTAAACCTTCAAGAAACAACAATCATAATTCACGATTCAACATTTTATTAACCTACAAATCGAGTTTTCATTATATAAAAAAATTCCATTAAAATCAGTAACGCGTCGGAGATAATGAACTTATGATTGGTATGCAGATGAAGGGATATCCAAACAATTGAAGCGCTCACAGATGATGTCTTAAAAACTAAACAGGGGATTTCTCTCTGATTCCATATATGTATGTCTGTTGCCACCACAATTTGGAGTGTTCTATGTACAAGGAGCAAATGTATCCACTTGCTTACTTAACCGCTGCATCGGCGGTGCCCTGTTTGGCCACATCACTAGAGTTATCCTCGTCCTCGTCCATTTGATTGCTGCTGTCCAACAGGCGCTGGCGCTCCTCCTCGTTGGCATGCCCATTTAAGTGAATCGGGGAACGGGAACGGGAGCGAGAACGACTGCGTTCATGGCCGCGCTCGGCATGCCCATTGGCAATGTTCAAACCAGCCACGCCCATCTCGTGCCCATCACTGCTCGACGAGGAGGATGTACTGGAAGTGGTGCTCGATGTTGTGCTGCTGCTATCGCTCTCGCTATCCTCGCTGGAGGAGTCCATGGGCGTGGGCTGAGGGGGCTGCTGGGGTGGCTGTTGTCTGGCCTGCAGCTCGACGGCCGAGCTGGGTGTGGGGGCCACCGCCGAGGGCGGAGAGGCAGCGGCGGCAGCAGCAGCAGCACCAACCGCTGGACCTGGTGTCGATCCTGTGGAGCAAGAGCGCAGGAAGTGGGAACGCAAAACTGTAAAGGAAATAAATATCAATATTTAGTTTAATAATGGGAATAATCGAGACTCACATTGATTCTCCCGCGTCAGCTGGCGCATCTTCTCCTCCTGAGCTCGAATCTTGACGCTAAACTCGTTGGATGTGTTCTGAGCCTTGGAGTAGCGGTCTTCGATCTGCAGGCACTCCTGGATTAGCTCCTGCTTGTTCATCGTCTCCAAGCGCTCCAGTCGCGCCCGCTCGTAGACATTGGAGAACTCCTTGGAGAGAAAGAGATCCTGATCCTCCGTCTGCGAATTGAAGCAGTTGTCATCGGAGTCGTCCTTGTTCAGGTCGGACATGTGCTCCTCCATCAGGAAGCGATTGGTGTTGTACGGCACGAGCAGCGACCGGGAGCGGACCAGTTTGGTGCGGCTGTTCGGACGCGGATGGGGATGCCCCTCGGCATCCGTTGGCATATCTAGCTTCCACTGGGGAAACTGATTCTTGGTCTTCTTCGGCAGGAGCTTGGATTTTTTGCCGCGGCGATGCTTTCGCTTGGGCATTCCTGATCCTACGCCGCCGCCGCTGCCTCCTCCTCCACTACCAGCGCCTCCTCCACCATCCAAAGGCCGCTGCTTGGAGTTGTTTTCTGAAAAAAATAAAAAAAAGGATATGCAATTTTAAATTTCAAACTAAAAACGGCCGCCAACTTCCCGAAATGCAACTCTGACGAACGCTTTTCGCGAAAAAAAAACAGTCCAATAGTCAGTCGCCATTTGTCTTGCTTTTTTTTCATCGCCCCTTAATTCCCGATTTTTACCTGTTTTTACCGCCTCTGCCATGTTGCCAGCTCAATTTATAGTTGCACAAACACTTGAGGTCCACTTGAAGCGCAAATTTCAGGTTCTGAACTTATTTTCAAGCTTGAGAAATTTGTTCTAAGCCAAATCTGAGGAAGTGTGGACAGGCACAAGTTTGAATTTCAGCCTGGCGTTATTGGGGAAGGTACAGACTTCAGACGGTCACTCTAGCCCTCGATAACGATAATATATCTGGGGTATTCCTCGTTTAAAAACTGGAATTGGTTTTTGAACTAGTTGAAATATAAAATAATAATAAAAACTTAGTAAGAAATTATTAACTTATATTTAAATTCCAAAGGGTATGATTTCCTGAAGCTTAATTCTAAACCAATGTCTTTGTTATTTCGTCTGAAATATTTATAATAAATAGTTGTGCTGTAAAGATCTTAAAAAACTAAAAATATAAGCTTAATCACAATCAAATCTCTTTATTTTTACAACAAAATGTATAAAATTTTTCTCTTAAAACAAAAAAAAGATATAAGTATGCCTCTGTTATTCCCTCAAGCTGTCGTGTATCCATTCGATGAAGGAGGCCACCCTTGTGTAGACATCCGGCCAGTCAGGATTCGGACATGGCACCGGTCCGAAGGATACCAAACCGCCCAGAAGATAGGCATCGTTTTTGAAAAGCATCAACGGTCCCCCGGAGTTGCCATGACACTCCTTCGAGCTAACAAAGCCGCAGAGCTGCGAGGCCTGAATGCTCAGCTTATGGGCCGAGTACTTAAGATGACAGTCTGCTATGGAGCTAATGGTCACAAAGTTCTTACGCATGCGCGGCGAGGTTTTGGCGAGCCAACCAGCCTGCTCCGTGACCAGACCCTCCAGCTCGTCCGCACGCAGTTGCTTGTTGGGCAGACAGATCGGCATCACATAGTCATTGAGCTTCGCAGGAGTGGCCAGGCGAATGAGGGCTATGTCGTTGACCTGACTAAGGTTGGAGCTATTGTACAGGGGATGCGACACGGCCTCCTCCACGTCAATGTCCTGGTAAGCCGGAGCACAGTCCGCCTTTTGGGTGTCCTCGTGGAACTGGCAGTCAGGATTAGTGCTGGTATCCCATTCACCCAGACGCACTGCGGTTATCCTTAGATTATTTGTCGTGGCTTGCACCACACAGTGGGCGGCAGTCAGAACATATCGCTCACTGATAAGCACTCCTCCACAGCCATGGATCTTCTCCCCGTTGGATGCTATGAGAGAGAGAGTGGAGGGTTTTACTGAGCCGTCTGATAATGGCAGAGACGAAAGACTCACCCTTCGTATACTCGATGAGAGCCAGCCAGGGAAACTCCCTGATCCGCGTTTCGGTGTCGTTGGAACGTTGCCACCGAGCTGCGCCACAATCAGTGGGCAGCAGGGGATGCGTCAAGGCCCCCAAACCAGCGGTGCTTGGACAGCAGACCTGGGAAGAAACAGGAAATGAGTTGTAAAATAATTTAAATATATTTTATAAGGATAATAATAATGAATTAGTTTAAGAGAAGTTTTAGAAGTTCAACTATTAATTTATTTACTAATCTAAATCACATCTAATCTAAAGCTTTTCTCAACTTTTCAATTATTACTTATAAAACACTTAAGAACGCCTGGGGAATCTTCCCGCTTTTGTTTAAACGTAGTTTTGTTGACATATATAAACTGATTAGATCACTTAAAACCAAAAGCTTCAGCTGCTATCTCTCCCGCATTTAAAAGACTCAATGAAAGTGAAAACCAGAACACAGACCGGGAAAAAACCAAGCTTTTTGGTCCAAGTCCTCAACGGAGTTGGACTTGAACTCAGGTGTCTTTCCAGTGAGTCACAATCGAGTGTTTTAGTACCTACCAACACATCCTTGCCCCGCTGACCGCACTGATTCTCCCGCAGTAGGCTACGGTCGCTGGCAGTTGGATTCCCAGAGGTCAAGATTCTCATAAAGTAATCGCACTCCCTGATCGAGATGCAGTTGCCTGTGATCCTGCCATTCTGCAGCTTGGACACGCAGTTTAGTTGTTGAGCTGGAAGTTCATTGCCAGACTTGTTTACGTCTCTGAATACCCAATTCCGTGCACTCACCACTCGCGCCCAATGTCAGCAGCAGCAGGCAGCTGCCAACAACAAGTACAGCTGGAAAACTTCCCATGCCGGACCGGATCGATCAGATATAGCGACTGGCGACGACGGAGACGTTGGGACAGTATCGAGCGAGGGAACGAATGAGACTGCGGCTGCGATCGAGACTAATGGGCAAGTTAGGCCCGATGATTACCGGGAGAGTGAGTAGTAGCTCTCCGATTTTGATTCTGATTCAGTTTCAGAGATAGATTGAGATTTAGAGCTGGAGGGAGCCGGGTCCAGATAACATAATCAAAGTTGAGCAACCGAAAAGTGTATTAGCTTAGTGTTTTTTTTTTTTTAATATTCCCATTGATTGTTTTAATCCCACGGGTTAGATTGTTACGATTAAGAAAGCTATAGTATACTATAGTAAGGTGTTCTCGACTGTGAGACACCCGGTAACCCGCGCTTAAGGGGAAATAAGTTTCTCTTTGCTACATTTCTTTAAACAAGTTTTTAAATAAAAGTTATAAAAAGAATGAAGAGATAAAATTATTTTAAAAATATTAATTCCTCCCATCACCTAATGGGCTTGACCACATTTTTCAAATCTTCTTACTTTACAGAGAAGATAGAAATGAAGTCCTGGCTTTAATTTTTATTTAATAAAAAAATACAAATTTAAAAAGAAATATAAATATATAAATATATTTTAAAGAATCAAACAATTAGGCTTAAAAATAAATAAATATAATAAAGTCTTAAATTCAAAAAGAAACACACAATAAATGTTTATAGATATAGTTTTTTAAATACGAATTTTTAAAGGTTATTATTATTTTTTTTAAATCATAATAATATACATGATTTTAAAGTTTAAACTTACTCCTTATGGTATCCTTGAAAGAAGGAGCACCTAAATTTAAAAAAAATGGCTTTTATAAAGTTAAAGTTTGGGTTGACGAGAAAGTCAGGGAACATGTAATGGGTTTTCAAGTAAATTGGGAAAAGTAAAAGGACAAAAGTCCTTCTGCCGGCAAACTCATTTGCCATCTCTCTCTTTCTCTCAAAAGGCGAAAATATCGATGTATCGATGTAGCGCCTACTTTACTAAAATCGATTGCACCGATAACAAGAGCAACATCAATGTTGTTGCACCTCTAGAGGTTCCTTTTTTTATTTACAAAAATGCAGTGAAAAGTGGGCGAAAACAAGTGAAAAAACACAAAAAATGGCCACCCAAAAGCCAGGCGAGTGGGCAAGTGCCCTTTTGGCCCGCTTCGAGGATCAGGCAAGTGTTTTCCGGACGCTTTTCCGGTGCTGCGTCTCGCGGAGCCCTAGCGAAAAAATGTACCTGCTGCTCGGCCACCATCCCGCACCGCCCCTCATCCACACTTGGTCGTGTTGTTTTGGGGAACTGCGTGGGCGCAGAGGTGGTGTGGAGGCAGGTGGGGAGGGGTGGTGGCGTTCCCAGCATGAATGAAATGGAAATAATCAATCAAATGCGTTGTCTCTGTGTGTGTCTTTGCAGCTGCCAAACCGAATTGGAGCCTACGGCACGCAGGCGAGGATGAGCCAGGACCAACTGGTGGCCTGTTTAATACACATTTCGCGGTACCGTTTCTCTCTGGTCATCTCCGGGCTGACCAAGATGCTGCAGCGCGTCAATGAAGCGGTGAGTAGATTGTAAACAAAGTCAGGCTAAAAGAGATTTTACTTTAAACTCGAAAACTTGTATGAATTAGGACATTTTAAATGATTTTAAAATCTAATTAAACTTTTCATAACCCTTTTTAGGCCCTCCAAAATCGCCATGAGCCGGAACGTTGTTACTTCGAGTCCCTGGTCATTATACTGACCACCCTGGAGCGCTGCTTGACCAACCAAACCAAGGACACCGCACGTTTTGAGGAGGCCATGAATGTTAAGCTCCTGCTGCGCGAAATCTCCCAGTTTGTGGACGTACAAAGCGATAGTAATCCGAATGCTGCCCAGCTCAAGGCTTTGGCCTCGAAGGTGCTTTTCGCGCTATCCCAGAACCACTTCTCGGCGGTGTTTAATCGCATCTCGGCTAGGATACAAGAGTTGACATCCTGCTCCGAGGAGAATCCGGACTACAATGACATCGAACTCATACAGCACATCGACATGGACATGATAAAGCTGACCAAGCTGCTGCAAGGTAGAGCAAATTAGTGTTTTTACCTTAATTATTATAATATTACCTTCATTATTCCTTTAGAAACCATCACAAAGTTTCGTTCCAAACGTGCGCCGCCTTTGATTTTGCTTTACTCGCTGGAGAAGGCCATTTGGAACTGGATTGAGTACCATCCGCAGGAGTTCCAGGACCTGCAAAGGGGCACCAATAGGGATATATCCACGTAGGATTAGGAATTTAATTTTAAAACTATCCAAATAACAACGATCCTTCCTTCCTTCAGCTGCTGGGAACCCCTTATGGACTTTGTGGAGTACTTCAAGTCGGAGAACAAGAAAAGCAAGACTTTGGTGTGGCCCTTGCAGATGCTGTTGCTCATACTGAATCCCTCTTGCCTGGAGGCCACTGTCAACGAGCTGCAGCAGTCAGAAAAGGAGAAGGAAAAGGAGAAAGTTCCCTCCAAGTCCGCTCAGTCCACCTCCAGGGACAAGGACTTTTCGGCCAAGCAGTTCATCGAGAGCATCAAGCGAGGTTTGGGCCAGCATTCGCCCTCCAAGCAGGTCACCGAGTCCTCGGCCATAGCCTGCGTCAAGCTCTGCAAGGCCTCCACGTACATCAACATCACCGACTCGAATAATGTCGTTTTCAAGCTGGTCCAGTACTTTATCAACGACCTCAAGGCTTTGCTCTTCAATCCGGCCAAGCCCTTCTCCCGAGGACAGGGCTATAACTTTGCAGACATTGAGCTGATGATTGACTGTTGGGTGTCCTGTTTCCGCATCAATCCGCATAACATTGAGGCATTGAAAGTGTGCCTGAATCTGTCCTCGCCGCAGGCTTACCACTTTGTGATTGTGTGCTCTTTGTTAAGGTGAGTAACAATGCCTGAAATAGTATTCAATATATTTAATAAGAATACTTTAATCCCTTCCAGACTGGCTCACATCTATGTAGACTTTCGCCTGCAGAACAAGAATCCTTTTCGGATTGTCAACCAACCTAGGTTATCCTGGTGGCCTCAGACAGATGTGGTTCACTATCGTTCTGCGGAGCTGCGGGCTCTGTTCACGGACACGCTCAACAAGGCCACCCAGGGCTATATAGCCCACACTCCCCTGCGCTACATCACCTCCCTAACGCTCAAGTCCAAGGACACCCAGAAGGGTTTAACGCGGGCCGAAGAGGGTCCTGCCCACAAGATGCTATTGCTGTTGCTTGTCCGTCTAATCCATGCAGATCCCACGCTTTTGCTAAACGTAAGATTTGCATCATTTAAAGCTTAAACTCTACTAAACTCTACTCTTTTTCAGACCCAGGGAAAGGTGGCCCACGAGGTGCAGAGTTCCACGCTGGAGCTCATAAACGGTCTCGTGAGTCTGGTTCACCAAACCACCATGCCCGATGTGGCCCAAGAGGCCATGGAGGCTCTTCTGGCTTTGCATGCACCGGAAAAGATTGAAGTCTGGAATCCAGAGGCCCCCATCAACACTTTTTGGGACGTTAGTTCCCAGGTGCTGTTCTCCATCTCGCAGAAACTTATCCAGCATCAGATAGCCAACTACACGGATGTTTTAAAGTGGCTGCGCGAGATCCTGATCTGCAGGAATACCTTCCTCCAGCGGCACAAAGACTACGCCCATGTGGGCAGCCAAATTGCCATTTGCAAGCAGGCCCACATCAAAATGGAGGTGGTCTTCTTTATGTATCTATGGAGCGTTGACTTGGATGCAGTGCTGACCTCGCTTTCGTGTTTTGGGCTGCTTTGCGAGGAGGCGGAGATCTGCTGCAGCTCCGATGAGCTGACAGTGGGCTTTATAATGCCGAATTATCACATCTATCAGGAGCTGGCACAATTGTCCTCATGTAAGTTGAATTTTTAAGAATTAATTTTAAATAAATTTATCATTTTATTTAACTTTTTAGCTGCCACGGATACTAGAATATGCTTCTTTGACAACACCCATGGCAATGTCCTCAGCCGACTTACTTTGCAGAAACGCATAATGACTTTACTGCGCAAGATCGAGCACTGCGTCCATGGTGTCCAGCCTGCCTGGGAGGAGACCTTCCGCAACTGGGAGGTTTCCAGCAAGGTCCTGCAAACCTATCCCAAGTGCAAGGGCGAGGATGCCCAGGCGGAGGTCTTTCATCGAGGAATGGGCAAGCGAAGAGCTAGTCATCAAAGCTCAGAGCATGATTTGGAAGAGCAGATCAACGAGTGGGCCAATATGACCTGGTTTCTGCTGGCTCTGGGCGGCGTCTGCCTGCACAAGCGTAGTAGCAGCCGGCAAATGCTGCTTCAGCAATCCCAAAACAATGCCTCTTTAGGATCCTTGGCTCAAAACTCTCTGTACTCCAGCTCTACCAGTTCCGGGCATGGTTCCCTGCATCCCAGCACTGTGTCTTTGTCCACCATACCGCCAGCGCCGCCTCAAGATGTTAGCTACTGTCCTGTGACTCAGTGAGTTCTTTGAAAAACTCATCCTACCTTTTTTATACCCTTGCAGGGTATTATAATTTCAGTCAGAAGTTTGCAACGCAGTGAAGGAGACGTTTCCGACCCTATAAAGTATATATATTCTTGATCAGCATCAACAGCCGAGTCGATCTAGCCATGTCCGTCTGTCCGTCTGTCCATCTGTCCGTCTGTCCGTCTGTCTGTTTCTACGCAAACTAGTCCCTCAGTTTTAAAGCTATCTGAATGAAACTTTGCATAGAGTCTTCTATATACTCTCACTGCTATATATGTCGGAACGGGCCGGATCGGACGACTATATCATATAGCTCCCATACAAATGTTCGATAAATTTTTAGAAAAAAAATTATAACTTGGCTGTTTTTCAATATTTTTGCATCATTTTTAAGATATAGCCATTTTATATTATTACAGAATTTTGGTAAAAATTTTATGAAAATCGGACGACTATATCTTATAGCTGCCATAGGAACGATCGGAAAATGAATAGGAAAAAAATTATAACTTCGTTGTTTTTCAACATATTCTTATCTACTTTTAGATATAAGCTTCTTTTATTATTTCAGAATTTTGGTAAAAATTTTATGAAAATCGGACAGCTATATGATAGCTGTCATATAAACGATCTGTAAATGTGGAGAAAATGTAAAGCTGGGAATGTAAAACTGTAACTGTCAAACTGTAAACATAATAAGTATAGGTAAAATGTAATGAAACTCTGTTTTGTGAGTGTTTTCAGCATTTAAATTTATAATATAAACATCAAAACCAATCTGCAAGGGTATACAAACTTCGGTGTGCCGAAGTTAGCTTCCTTTCTTGTTTTAATATAAATATTTCCCTAAAAATAGATTCATTGGCCAACTGTTGCGTCTGCTGGTCTGCAGCAATGAGAAAATCGGCCTCAATATCCAAAAGAACGTCAAGGAGCTTGTGGGCGAGGAGATGTCCACCCAGCTGTTTCCCATACTCTTCGACCAAATACGCGCCATCGTGGAAAAGTTCTTTGATCAGCAGGGCCAGGTCAATGTCAATGTCACGGACATCAACACGCAGTTCATCGAGCACACAATCTACATAATGAAGTCTATCCTGGATCCCAAGGCCAGCAAGGATCCCAACAACGAGCAGCCCTCGCCCTCAGAGCACCTGGGTGTCACCAGCATCGAGGGCATGATGCTGGGCATCGTTCGGTATGTCCGACATCTGGACATGACCGTCTATGCCATAAGGATCAAGACCAAGCTCTGCCAGCTGGTGGAGGTGATGATGAAGCGGCGCGATGATCTTGCCTTTCGCCAGGAGATGAAGTTCCGCAACAAGTTGGTGGAATACCTGACCGACTGGGTGATGGGCACCTCGCATCAGATAGCGCCGCCCAGCTCTGCGGATGCTTCTATACTGACCAACACATCGCTTATCTTTCGGGATCTGGATCAGGCCTGCATGGAGGCAGTGGCCGCTCTGCTGAGGGGTCTGCCACTCCAGCCGGAGGAATCTGATAGGGGAGATTTGATGGATGCCAAGAGTGCTTTGTTCTTGAAGTACTTTACCTTGTTTATGAATCTCCTGAATGACTGCATCGACAGCTCCGAGGCGGAAAAGGAGATGAACAATACCCCTTTGCTGCCACCAAGACCTAGAATGGCAGCTGGCAAGTTGACGGCGCTCAGGAATGCCACCATCCAGGCCATGTCCAATCTTTTGGGTGCCAATATAGACTCGGGTTTGATGCACTCCATCGATCTGGGCTACAACCCGGATTTGCAGACCCGGGCTGCCTTCATGGAGGTCCTTACACAAATCCTGCAGCAGGGAACCGAATTTGACACTTTGGCGGAGACTGTCCTAGCGGATCGCTTCGAGCAACTGGTCCAGCTGGTCACCATGATCAGCGACAAGGGTGAACTGCCCATAGCCATGGCTCTGGCCAATGTGGTGACCACCTCGCAGATGGATGAACTGGCCAGGGTTCTTGTCACGCTCTTTGATGCCAAGCATCTGCTGTCGCCTTTACTGTGGAACATGTTCTACCGCGAGGTGGAAGTCTCCGACTGCATGCAGACCCTCTTCCGTGGAAATTCGCTGGGCAGCAAGATCATGGCTTTTTGCTTCAAGATCTATGGAGCAAGTTACTTGCAAATGCTGCTGGAGCCGCTGATTCGTCCTTTGCTGGACGAGCAGGAGGAGACTTGCTTCGAGGTGGATCCAGCCAGGCTGGATCCCAGCGAGGACATTGAACAGCATCGCAATAACCTAATAGCGCTCACCCAAAAGGTTTTCGATGCCATTATCAACTCTTCGGATCGTTTTCCTCCGCAGCTGCGCTCCATGTGCCACTGCCTGTACCAGGTGCTGAGCAAACGCTTCCCGAATCTTCTGCAGAATAACATAGGGGCCGTGGGCACTGTGATCTTTCTGCGCTTCATCAATCCCGCCATAGGTGAGAGGTTATAAGTTCTTCTTAAAATTTTAATTTACTTTTGCAAAACCCATTTTCCTTTTTTCACAGTTTCCCCCCAAGAGCTGGGAATCGTGGACAAACAGGTGCACAGCTCGGCCAAGCGGGGTCTTATGCTGATGTCCAAAATCCTGCAGAACATTGCCAACCATGTGGAGTTCTCCAAGGAGCAGCACATGCTGTGCTTCAATGATTTCCTGCGCGATCATTTCGAGGCCGGTAGAAGGTTCTTTATACAGATTGCCTCGGATTGCGAGACGGTGGACCAGACCTCGCACAGTATGAGCTTTATTTCGGATGCCAATGTTTTGGCCCTGCATCGATTGCTGTGGACACACCAGGAGAAAATCGGCGACTACTTGTCCAGCAGCAGAGACCACAAGGCCGTGGGCAGGCGGCCCTTCGACAAGATGGCCACCTTGCTGGCCTACCTGGGTCCGCCAGAGCACAAGCCCGTGGACTCGCACATGATGTTTAGCTCGTATGCACGCTGGAGCTCCATTGATATGTCTTCCACAAACTTTGAGGAGATCATGGTCAAGCATCAAATGCACGAGAAGGAGGAGTTCAAGACTTTGAAGTCGATGAACATATTCTACCAGGCGGGGACCAGCAAGTCGGGATATCCCGTGTTCTACTACATAGCCAGGAGATACAAGTAAGTAAAAGAAGAAAGAGCTTGGTAGGGGATATATTATAAACCTCCTTTTCCAGGATTGGTGAAACCAATGGAGACCTGCTCATCTACCATGTCATCCTCACACTAAAGCCCTTCTGCCACTCGCCCTTCGAGGTGGTTATTGACTTCACACACACCTGCTCGGATAACCGCTTCCGCACAGAGTTCCTGCAAAAGTGGTTCTATGTCCTGCCCACGGTGGCCTACGAAAACGTCCATGCGGTTTACATTTACAACTGCAACTCGTGGGTGCGTGAGTACACCAAGTTCCATGATCGCATTCTGGCTCCCTTGAAGGGAAATCGCAAGTTATTGTTTTTGGAGTCGCCCAATAAGCTCACGGATTTCATAGATGCCGAGCAACAGAAGCTGCCGGGTGCCACGCTCTCCTTGGACGAGGATCTCAAGGTGTTTAGCAATGCCCTCAAGCTGAGTCACAAGGACACCAAGGTGGCTATTAAGGTGGGTCCCACAGCTTTGCAGATTACTTCCGCTGAGAAAACCAAAGTCCTGGCCCACTCGGTGCTCCTAAACGATGTCTATTACGCCTCGGAAATTGAGGAAGTGTGCCTGGTGGACGACAACCAGTTCACGCTGTCGATAACCAACGAGAGTGGTCAGCTCAGCTTTATACACAACGACTGCGATAATATTGTCCAGGCTATAATCCACATCCGAAATCGCTGGGAGCTCAGTCAACCGGATTCCGTAACAGTGCACCAGAAGATACGACCCAAGGATGTGCCCGGAACTCTGTTAAATATGGCTCTACTTAATCTGGGCTCTTGTGACCCGAATCTGAGGACCGCTGCCTACAATTTGCTGTGCGCCCTGACAGCCACTTTTGACCTGAAGATCGAGGGGCAGCTTTTGGAGACGCAGGGTCTGTGCATACCCTCCAACAATACCATCTTTATCAAGTCGGTGAGCGAGAAGCTGGCCACCAATGAGCCGCATCTAACCCTGGAGTTCCTTGAAGAGTCCATCCAGGGCTTCCAGCGTAGCACCATCGAGCTGAAGCACTTGTGCCTGGAGTACATGACGCCCTGGCTAAAGAATCTCGTCAAGTTTTGCAAGTCCAATGATGACTCCAAGAAGCTCAAGGTCTCCCAGATCCTAGACAAGCTCATTAATCTCACCATTGATCAGAAAGAAATGTATCCCTCGGTGCAGGCGAAGATTTGGGGCTCTATTGGCCAGATCCCAGAGCTCATTGACATGGTTTTGGATAACTTTTTGCATAAATCCATTACCTATGGCCTGGGGTCGCCCCAGGTAGAGATCATGGCTGATACAGCTGTGGCTCTTGCCTCGGCCAATGTCCAGCTGGTGTCCAAGAAGGTCATCACTAGGATGTGTCGCGTCATGGACAAGTCCTGCACGAATCCCACTCAGTATCTGGAGCAGCACATGATGTGGGACGATATTGCCATCCTGGGACGCTATCTGCTCATGTTGTCCTTCAACAATTGCCTGGATGTGGCCACCTCGGTGCCCTACCTCTTCCACACTATTACCTTCCTGGTCTGCTCGGGATCGCTTTCCATGCGAGCCTCCACCCATGGTTTGGTGATCAACATCATCCACTCGCTGTGCACCTGCACAAATCCCTCGTTTTCGGAGGAGGCACAGCGCGTGCTCCGACTTTCGCTGGATGAGTTTTCCCTGCCCAAGTTTTATTTGCTTTTCGGCATCAGCAAGGTCAAGTCGGCAGCAGTCACAGCCTTCCGCTCTAGCTGCCGTCATCCCACTGATAAGTGGCTCGGAAATGAGAGGGTCACGCAGCCTCTGCCTGCTGATCGCGAGCGCCTGTCCCTGCCCTCGCTGGAGGTTATAACGGATGCCCTTCTCGAGATCATGGAGGCCTGCATGCGCGACGTTCCCGACTGCGAATGGCTGCACACCTGGACCTCTCTGGCCCGCAGCTTCGCCTTTTGCTACAATCCTGCCCTGCAGCCAAGGGCTTTGATAGTCTACGGCTGCATCAGCAAAAGTGTGACCGACCACGAGGTGAAGCAGTTGCTGCGTATCCTGGTCAAGGCTTTGGAATCGTTCAACGATTTGATTCTAATCGAGGCTTTGGTCATGTGCCTGACGCGTATCCAACCGCTGCTGCGACCAGAGTCGCCCATCCATCGGGCTCTCTTCTGGGTGGCCATTTCTGTACTCCAGCTGGACGAGATTACCCTGTACGGAGCAGGTTTGGCCCTGCTGGAACAGAACCTTCACACCCTCAAGTCGCAGGGATGCTTTGACAAGAAGGAAACCATAGCCGAGGTGATGATGAAGACGCGCGAGAAGCTGGAATGGCACTTTAAGCAGCTGGATCATGCCGTGGGTTTGTCCTTCCGCAGCAACTTCCACTTTGCCCTGGTTGGGCATCTGATCAAGGTAAGCCGGGGAGGGTTTTGTTTTATAACAAAATATCAAAGTTATTTTTATTAGGGTTTCCGGCATCCCACACCCACCACGGTTTCTCGCACCTCACGAGTGCTGACCATGCTTTTGGGCATCATAGCCAAGCCGCTGCATCGGGACAAGTTTGAGGTGACACCGGATAGTGTGGCCTATCTGACGGCTCTGGTGGCTGTTTCCGAGGAAGTCCGCTCCCGCTGCCATGTTAAGCATGCCCTGCCCCGCTGGCCAGCCGATCTAAGCGGCAGTGTGGAGAATGGGGAAGCTTCCAACGGAGGAGTGCAGGCAGTAAGCTCTGGAGTTACTAAAAAACCATAAAAAAGTGGGCTAAATATTAACCTACCCTTAGATTGGCCAGCCCCTGTCGCGTAGGCAAAAGAGTTGGGACATCCTGGACCAGTCTGCCTTGCAGTTTGCCCGACAGCACAAGGTTCCTACTCTTCAGGTAAGTTTTTTGGGATAAACTGAGCTGAGCTAAGCCACCACTTACCCACTTGTTTGAAATTCGCTGTACAAAAGTTGTTATAACCATCTGCTATAGTAACTTTTGGCTATCTATTTGAGTTGATATACTATATCCCAGCCTATATACTCCACCTACTGTGATCAATCAGCCTTTTGCATAACTAATAATCGTTCAATGACTTTTCTTTTCTCTTTTTATGTTTGATTTGAATATGAAATATGAAAAATATGAAAACCTTGCAAACATATGTCACAATGTATACTCGTAATACATCTATCTGCCTGCCGACTCTTACATCTAATTGGTGCTTGTAACTCTCCTCCATATTAACTAAATGTATTTATGAACAACTATATTAAATATATAAACTATAAACTACCATTTCTATTACAACTACTACGCATGAATATTGTCATTTGATTTACGTTTGATTTGGTTATCGAAATCCCCCGCTACAACACTCTGCCAACACCACGAACATATCACATCAAAACATCCGTAGAACGCGCGAGTTCTGTTCAAGACTCAACGCTCTTTCTCGGTGCCAACGACCAAAGATCCGAACAATGCCACCGGCATCGAAGAACGTCAGGTACTGCTCTACAAAACTTATCTCTCTCTTAGCTTATTCCCCCCACTAACTCAAAGTTGCAAGTCTTTACAAGATTGCTACTAAAATTTAGTCTAAGCTAACATCAATGTTGCGCTCTGCATGGCACATCTCTTGCATTTCTCGTAGTTTTTTCATCTTCACTAGTAATTTTCAGTCCATATCTATGTGTTTTTAAAGTCTGGTTTAGTGTAATTTAATTAACAAATTCATAAAATATATTTAAACAGGAACGCGGCTCGCGTTCTTCGGTGTCCAACGAGTCGAATGTGCTGCTCGATCCCGAAGTCTTGCCCGATTTGTCCATACAGGCGCTGGTTCTAACAGTTCTAGCCACTCTGGTCAAGTACTCCTCGGATGAGGGTGAAACGCGTGTCCTGTATCAGTATTTGGCTGAGGGTTCGGTGGTGTTTCCCAAGGTGTTTCCAGTCATGTGAGTTTCTATCAAGGATCGTAACTCTTAACTAATTAACTGACTAACTCTAACTCTTAACTAATTATTAAATTCCTTTATTTAGCCACTCCCTGCTGGATCAGAAGATCAACAATATTTTGTCAGTGTCACACGATCAGGTAGTGCTCAACTCGGTGCAAAATATTATACAAAATATGTTGGCCAGTGAGGATCCCTCCCAGCAGCAGCTGCACTTTTTGCAGAGCTGTGGTTTTGGAGGCCTTTGGCGTTTTGCGGGGCCCTTTACCAAGGTGGGTGTTTATATATTTATCATAATTATTAACTATTTTTCCAATAAAACCGACCCAAATTTCATAAACAAAATCTATATTTCCAGTACAACATGATGGGTGAATCCTCTGAGCTTTTCGTAAACTGCTTGGAGGCCATGGTCGAGACCTGTTTGCCTGGCGATGAATCGGCGCCAGTGCCACCATCGCCGCGTCCTTATAATCTGAGTTCCAGCCTGAGCAGCCTGACCTTGGGCTCACCCACGGACAAGGGTAAGTAGCTGGTGGTAGTTAAACCGTAGACCCTAGACCCCATTAATATGGCATTGCTTAACCTTAGCGCAAACTTAATCTCTCTTTATATATCACACCAATTGCGTTATATAGCATTCTCATCGGAATCATTAGATTTTTATGACAATTGCCCGGGCAGCGTCAGCAGCCTGCGACGCGCCTCACACAGCAAATCACGCGCCAAACATCGAATTAACGACAGTCCATCACATTGAACGATCCACGACTAAAGACAAAAAAAATAATATAAAATATAAAAAACAGATAAAAGACAATTGAATAGCTGAGAGACAGCAGCACAACACCAAGATTGGAACCAAAATATGTATTTTGTAGTTATCTAAGCTATTCAAAACGACAAAACGAAAGCAAAATTAACTATGCAAATTGTTAAACACAAACCAAAAACTAAAAAAACAAAACCAATGCCACAAATCAATGCACTTTATCGTACACTTATTAGCGAATTAATATTCTAAACTTTGAGAATCGTATTGACAGTGTACCTGGTTCCTTGAAGCATTTATAACATATTCTCGAAACTAAATGCACCCCGAGTAGCGTATTATAGTAGTGTTGCCCGTATATGTATTTGTTCAATGCTTACTTACACCTTTCCTTTACAAACAATGGTGAAAATGTTAAAAGAACAAAAATAAACCAAAGTCCAAAGAATGACATGATGATTGGTACAGAAAACTTAAATATTTTGCATAAATTGTAAAAGAAATCCAATAAACACATACAAAATATTAAAAATGCATGGAAATTAGGAGGGGAAGAAAATATGATGTATTGATACCGTGTCGATATTTGACTAAAAGTCTTATATTCATTTTTTATCAATTCAAAAAATCGATATTCTGTTTGATATATTCAACAAATTTAAGTGTCTAATGCAGCCTTTTTGTTTGGTTTGCAATTTAAATAATATAGATATATTAACGATAAATTCGATATTTTTCGATATTTTAAATTTCAGTTTATCGAATTCGAAAATATTTATGATTGTTTATATTTATCGACCTGCGCTTGTTTGTTTTACAATTTTTTATAAAATTAATATTTTAACTTTATGTCCAATATTTATATTTCGATATATCAGACTTCGATATCCGATAATTAAGTCGATTATCATATCGAACTCTTCCCCTCAACAATGTACCTAAATGCATTTTAATAAATTGAAAAATTAATTAATATAAAAACAATTCAATTCCCAGTAGCTTCTTAGATTAGACTAGAACTCACAAGAGAACACACACAGAAAGTGTAACCAGATTTCTTTATTTTTTACACAAGCAACTTAATTTTGATACCAGCAATTAGATAATTTTATTAAGAAAATAAGTAAGCTGCTTCAACGCTTTGTGGCCCAGATTTTTAATTTCCCACCCAATTTCTCCCTTTCCCCCGATGTGTTTATGCAACTTTTGTCTTACTTTCAGCTGCATGAATAACAACAACAAACCCACGCACTAGACGTACCACACTAATCGCAAAAGTAATGCGTTTCCTAAATCTGTTTAAAAAGTGCTTTTAGAGACAGTGAAAACCCCCACAGAGAGTCGTACAAAGTCATAGAGTATATATATATGTATCTACAGTGGTAATTGTATAGAATGTCCAGCAGAGCGAGCAGAGGAAGTGAACGCCAAGATCGATAAATGTAAAAAGTGATTGTATATATGTGTATGTGTAGAGAGGAAGCGATCGAGAAGGATGCTGTGGGCCGAAGGTTAAAGACAGAACCGCTGAGAATAAAGAGATATCGAACGAAATATTTTTTAACGAATAACGATTGTACATTTTAAAGAGATTGTAATCCGCCATTAATAGTAAGCACTTACGTACACCAAGTCCACCAGTTCCTGAGCAGACGATGACCACGCGAAACGGAGTTAACCCAGAGAGCAAGCACAACGCATGAACATATATATATAAAACTGAGATCAAACTATCGAACAGAGGAATAACCAAAAAGCTTTAAGAAGGCGGCAAGCCTCCATTGATTTGTATTATAAAATAATCTCCCCGGTATCAGATGGCATTTATTTTTCCTATAATTATGTTTTTTTTTATACATTCTCATCCTTCATTTTGATTTTACTAATTTATTTTTCATTAGCTCATAGCCTCCAAGAAAATTTAAAAAAAAAAACACCAAAAATTAATCTACTATTGTTAAGCTGAAATACGACACAAAGTCCGCTTTAAATATAGTTTAAGTTTAGGCACCATCCAACAGGTTTTTAATCGAAATACAGTTGATAAGCGAACAGAAACGAAAATTCAGAGATTACGAATGTTACACATATGTACCTCTTATTAAGGAAAACGCAACAAATTAGTACATTTACTTTTTAGCACAAGAGAACACATTTTTTTTTTGTAATAAAAAACTAGATGAGCAAAACCTAACCAGTTACTTTGCATTATTAATCTAAATGTATATGTGTGTGTTGCTAAATGTGTATTAAACGAATATATGTATCTTTGTATATTAGAGCCATTTGAAGATATTTATGAAGTGTTAATGTCTTAAATTTATCAATGTACAAGAATATCGAACAAATTAATATACTTTCAATAAAAATGTTTACATGAATCGAAAATATAGATTGAGAGTTTGATTTGGGTTGGGGATAGGCTTATATATATGAATACACTAGTGAAAATTGCAGGTTAAACGTATATTTTATGTATAATAAATAGTGATTTATTATAGAAATTACAGCCAGGTTGGGATTTGTTTTCTTCGTAGGCAAATATTTCAGAATTAAATATCTTTACTACTATTTTGCTGACTGATCCTTTGCTGTTTTAGCTTTCGATGATCCTTCCACTCTCTTGAGATTGCGAAAACAAATCATGTGCTCTTATAATTTTGATGTTATTGGGAGCAACCCATGTACACTAAATCTTAATAGTCCTCATATGTCTGGTCTTAGACTTTATCATCAAAGATATTAAATTAAAGAAGACTTAAAAATCAACCCAACTCTAAAAAAATGAAATGATTCATCACTGCTACAAGCTTATCCCCCTTTTGAAATCTTGTTTTCCTTCCTTGCAATTTAAATCTTTGTTTTTGCATATGGTTGTCGTCTTCCTTCAGTCATCTTGAGAGACCCATATCAAAACAGTTGCACCGCTGATGATCTCAGAAACCTCCCCCACGACGAATACAAAAAACTGAAAACGAAATGTAAGAAATCAGTGCCATCAGATGTCAACGATGTCGTTGCTGGTGCCGTCTCTGGTTCTGTTTGTTAACTTCTCGATTTCATGGATGCGATTGCAGCGACCCAGACCCTAACCTGGCTCACTCACTCACCCTCGGGCAGGTGGATTTCGTCAATAGCCCAATCCCAAAACCCTGAACCCCAGACCCTGTTTCGCCAAATGCGCCAAACAAGTGTCACAGCTGACCGAGCTGAGCAGCGACCGGGAGCAGCAGGAGTGAGGCACAATCCCAATACTTGTGGGAAAATGCCTCCAGTCAACTTTCTCACGATGCACATCCACCGAGCGACCCGGCAGAGCACCGGCTGCCAGTTGCTAGCTGCTTGCCTGGGTGGTGTGTGGTGCTCGCTGTGGTGGTGGTTGCTGCTGCTCCGTGTCCGCAAGTGTAACGCAATGTCGCCCAAAGAGGAAATGAGGTCTGTGTGACTGTGCGCCAAAAGGGAAGAGCAGGCACTGGGAGAAACAATTTAGTGTAAAATGGGTAAACATATAAGTTGACTAAGGATATTATAATGCAGATTTTTATCTTGGTTTTTAATAAATTAACTTAAGGATCCTTTTTTAATATTTTTGAATGAATATTTTAACAATTGTTGGAATTTACAGAGCCAATTTATAGACCTCTTAGAATTTTGTTAAATAAAATAAGGATACAAACCAAGGATACAAATTTTCAAATAATATATTAAAATAATAAATAAATTATTATTCTAGGATATCTACATATATTTTCTTCTTGTTTTTATGAAGATTAATTAAAAATTACTGTAATATCTTTCCGCTCTGTGTACTTGTTGCACGCATACAGCTAGGGACACACACCCATGTGCAACAATGCCATCGCCATCGCAGTCTCGACAAGATTGGCTCTTGGCTTAAGTGAGGACGGCACGCATGGGGCACGGCTCTCTCCTCGCAAGCGGAGAGCGTGTGCGAAGAGCTGGGAGCAGGCAGGTCGAGGTCATGTCGCCGTCGCTCCCAAGCGATGTCGTGTGTGCGTGTGGTGCGCTGCTGGTGGTGGTGGTTGATTGCTCCGGCTCTTGTCTTTCCTGGCTCTTTCTCTTCTTTCCACGTCCTCCTTCTACTACTCCTCCTCTGTTTTCTCCACCGTCGCCGATGGTTGCGCAGGCGCACGGGGCAGCAGCATGAGGAAAAGAGACGCCGAGAGAGCGAGCGAGGGTCTTGCCTCGGGTGAAGATCCCAAGAACGTGTTATTGGGCCCTAGTCAATGCACTGGAAATAATTGTATATATATATATAGGGTATTAAAATTTCAGTTACATGTTAGAAACAAAGTGAAGGAGCTATTTCCGACCCTATAAATCATATATATTCTTGATCAGCATCAAAAGCCGAGTCGATCTAGCTATGTTTGGCCGAAAAAAAAATTTTTTAATTTTTTTCAAAATTTTATAAGGGGTTACATCGTTAAAATTGACCAAAATTGGCAAAAAATTGAATTTTTAAATAACTTAAATTCGATGTGCAGATTTATTACTCTTATAAAAACTAACCTAGAACAGCTTTCCGAATGGAATTTGAATCATTTTTGACTTAATTATAGAGTTTTTAAGTTTAAATTTTCCCCAAAAGTTACACAAAAAATTGAAACAATTTTTTATATTGTCAAAAACTGGCATTTTAATTTTAAATAAAATTAAATTCAGAATGCTTTCCGAATTAAAATGATGGCTATAGTTTAAGCATTTGAAAAACTTTTATTTGCCTAAAAAAATTATCTTCATATTTTATGATATTATTAAACCTTGATATATATTAAACCATATCTTATTCTCAGTGTAAAGAGAGTATCGTGGCGGCTTCCGCCCGATACAATTTGTTTTGAAGTTGCACACGTGCAGCGCCCCGACTGAATCTTGCCACAAGCAGAGAGTGACCCGATTGATGCTTCGTGGTGATCGCAGCTCGAGCTCGAACTCGGATTCCGTTGGCAGTGGCAGTGTCAGTTAGGGGAGGATTTCGCAAGTGTACGACACCGGCGACGAGACGCTGGTGCAGCTACAAAAAGGATCAGCTTACCTTGCGGCAAGATCATTTCTCAAGTGACTACCGTGCAGTGCGGAGCGGCAGCAGCAGCAACAGCTTTATTTAAAAAATTAACCAAACCGCTGAAATAGTAATAGACATCATGGCCGTGCAGGGTCAGAGATTTATGACCAAGACCCAACACTACCGGAAGGTGACCAAGCCTCTGCTGGAGCGCAAGAGACGTGCGCGGATGAACCTGTATCTGGACGAGCTAAAAGATCTCATTGTGGACACGATGGATGCGCAGGGTGAGCAGGTTAGCAAGCTGGAGAAGGCCGACATCCTGGAGCTCACCGTCAACTATCTGAAGGCGCAGCAGCAGCAGCGGGTGGCCAGTCCTCAGTCTCCTCCAGAATCACAGGTTAACCTTGACAAATTTCGGGCTGGATACACCCAGGCCGCCTACGAAGTCTCACACATATTCTCCACTGTGCCCGGCTTGGACCTCAAGTTCGGCACGCACCTGATGAAGCAGTTGGGTCACCAGCTCAAGGATATGAAGCAGGAGATGGAGATGGATGCGGAGGAGCCCGTCAACTTGTCAGAGCGCAAGTCAGAGGATCAACAAAAGCGCCCTTCATCGCCCCAGGCGGAAGAACCCCCCAACGGAGAGGATGTCTGGCGCCCCTGGTGAAGGTCCTGGTCGCAAAACTAAATAAACCCATTAAGAGAGCTTTACTACTCTGGATTCAGTTGATACTCATTAAGAAACGATCCAAGTTTTCCAAGGTCTAGTGTAAACATTTGCCTCAGTATCGTATTTAGATATATTCTATAGGAGTTGATAGTTGATATGATGTGATGTTCCTGTGATAGTTCTTAAGTTCGTATTTTGTATTTGATCTCCCCTAGGTTTAAGGATTTCATGTATTTAAATGATTATTTATTTTGAATTTATTTTGAACAACATTACAAAGAGCTTCCCCGCCGAGCTTCCACTTAGTTTTATCAAGGATCAATATTTTATATGCTTTACTTGCGCATCTATTGCCTGAATTTAATTAGAATAAGATATGAATACTTGAATAAAAGAATTTATATAAAACTGAATTTATAAAAAAGTATACTTTTTGTGAACTCAATATTTTGGGGTTGGAATGTAGGATATGGGAAAAATAGTTATCCATTTTCGTTATTAAAACATTGGTTTTATGCCTCTTTACATGGACTTAAAAAACAGATACTTTTTGGGTTTCCAATTGTCATAATCGTTGAAAACTATTTCCAATTTATTTCCAATTTAAATTTAAGTTCTGAAATCGAAACCGTTTTTTTGTAATAGCTTTCATAATTTTTTATTTCAATAAGACCTTAAATAACAATCCAAAAGTCACCCAAGATTTAATAAAAATTCTAAAAAATAGATTAACCTACTTAATTTTAGCAAGAATACACCCCATTTAGTATGCTTATCCTTCCTCCTTTTAGTTACTCCTTACAAGCTCCCACCCAATACGGCGGGATACCTATCTCATGTTACAAATCCCTGGCGTGCTCAACCCAACCGTCGATTACAAAGTCCTGGAACGCGAACAACTTACAGCCGAAAGTGTGTCCACCGCGAGCCATAAGCGGGCAGCGCTCCAGGAGCAGCATCGTTAGCCCCTTTTACATCGAAGATGGAGAGCCGAGGCAGAGGGTCAGGCAGAGGTAGAGATCCTGCCGGGTGAGGAGAATGAGAATGAAAGCCGAATGAACGCACATTAAGCACACTCGACGCACACGAGCAATGTTCCCACAGGATCATAACAGCCGACCAACAAGTGCAGGATGCCTCTGCCTCTGCCTCCGCCTCTGCCACAACTCGAACCCGATCCCGATGTCGATCCCTATGCCGATCCAATATGGAATGCCAACGGTAAACAGGAAGTTGTCGACGAATCGCAACGCCCGGTCCCCATTCCCCGGCCGAGGTCCTCGCTATCGTGGGAACTCCGAGTCCTCGTCCTCATCCTCATCCTTGTCCCCGATGAGACGGCATAATGCATAGCAGTTCATTATCCTTATTCCCCTCCCCAGCCCTACCCCTCTAGTCAAATCATAACACACAAATCTAGAAACGGCAGCTGTTCGCTCTGCAAATTCCCATGCTTATGCCCATGGCCATGCTCCGTTGGCTTTGCGGGCAGGTGAGCGAGTCGATGTGAGAAACCGAGGCGGAAAGTGTTTCCCACGATCCTGGCAGAGCGATCCTGCTCCCTTGGCCGCCGTTGATAAGGGTGCGCAGGGCAACAATAAGAAATCGCCTGAACAATAAGGAGCGGTCTCAAGGAGCGGAAGGGTCGCCGTCGCCGTCGTTGTCGTCGTCGAGCAACCCTCATGCCAGCACACGGAGCGTGTCTTTCGTCCCTTTTCCTCCGCATGCCGGCACACACACACGATCCTCGATCCCTTGGCCCTTTTTGGGGGTTGTTTTTGGTCCGCCTATAAAAGCCGGGCCACCGAAGGCCAGTCAACACACACCGTCTTCGGCCGTCAGAGCAGCAACAGCTCAAAGAACTTACACCAAATAAGAAATTAAAGAAGAAAAACCAAAACTACACAACATGTCGTCGCTACAAATGTCCGAGATGTCCAAGACCTACCAGTACCGCAAAGTGATGAAGCCCATGCTGGAGCGCAAGCGTCGTGCCAGGATCAACAAGTGCCTGGATGAGCTCAAGGACCTGATGGTGGCCACTCTGGAATCCGAGGGCGAGCACGTCACACGCCTGGAGAAGGCCGACATCCTGGAGCTGACCGTCACCCATTTGCAGAAGATGAAGCAGCAGCGCCAGCACAAAAAGGCCTCCGGCAACGAGAGCCTGAGTCCAGCGGAAGGATTCCGGTCCGGCTACATCCATGCCGTCAACGAGGTCTCCCGTTCACTCTCCCAGCTGCCCGGCATGAACGTCAGCCTGGGCACCCAGCTGATGACCCACCTGGGACAGCGCCTCAATCAGATCCAGCCCGCCGTCAAGGAGGTCCTGCCAGTGACTGCTCCGCTCTCCGTGCAGATTGCCAGCCGGGATGGCTACTCCGTGCCCATCTCTCCAGTGTCCAGCTACGCCGGCAGTCCCAACTCCAATGTCAGCTCGGCCAGCACCTCCCTGCTGACCACCATCGATGTGACCAAAATGGAGGACGACAGCGAGGACGAGGAGAACGTCTGGCGTCCCTGGTAAAGGGGATACCTCAGCCTGCAGATCGAGCGAAGGAGAGATTATAGAAAATACAAATCTTCCGAGTCGTTGGAATTCCCCAATCGACTCCCAACCTAGTTCTAAGTACACAAAAAACAGACAGCTTTAGACGAGGACGCGCAGTTCATGTGATAACTAAATAAATAATAAATTATATAGCTTAAATTGAATGATCACGACTTTTTTCTTGGCACTATTTACCGGTCATTCCAGTGACTCACTTGGAAGCTGTCATGCAAATTGCTTAGACACTCCCCAGGTCTCGGCAGTTCCCAATAATTCTATCGCCTGGCTGCGGTGTAGAACGGAAATGCTACAATCCAAATAGCACCTCTTTGTTGGGTTTTGTAACAATTCGATCGAACCAATGGATACCAATTCCCAATTCCCAATCCCAAACCCAATGCCAAACAAAAGAAAGCGAAAACAATGCCAAGGCCGAGGCAAGAAGAATTAGGTAAAAGAAGAACCCTGAGGAGGAGGAGGAGAAGCTACCGATGGACCCTGGCTGGCCCTCGAACACGTGTGCGGACAATAAGCGAAGGTAACTCAGAAAATTAGAGACTTATCTCAGCGTATCTAATCGAGTTACGACAATGTCGCTCAGACTTAGGAGAAAAGGCCGTAAAGAACAGAGGAGAGACAGGGTTCCGAAAAGGGATCGAGTCATCATTCATCCCGCATCCATCCTGATTTTTGGGTCGCTCTCCCCTGTGCTGTGATTCTCCCTGGCCACTCGGCTAGAAAATCGTGTGCACAATGGTCAAGGCGAGCTACGGGCACATAATTGCTTCGGATCAGGTAAATGAGTGCCTTGCCCTAGGGCAACCTTAAGATGGAGCTTGAGTCCGGGACAGGATATCGTTTTTTTTGTGTGCCATTTTTATGGGTTCTGCCTTGGGCTTCGGGGTATTTTTTTTGTATTCTCTTTTTTTTTTGGTTTTTGATTCGGCTCTGCTGACCCAGCATCATTTGGTTATCTGTGTGCGCCAAGACCAGTAGCCGATCCCCAGACGCCTCTGTCTTTAAAAACGACGGAGGGCATAACGAGGAAATTGTGGACGAGATCGGTATCGGGGTGACAGCAGCCTTGGCTCTAGGGATGGCTGTGTAATAAATTCAAAGGAATTGAATTTATAGAGATTTTTTTTCTTAGCTGATTAACAATCTGTTAACTTGTTAAGAGTGAATGTAGATTATCTTGTCGGATCTTTTTATTTAAGTGCTTTGCCTTAATTTTACATTTCCGCCCTAAGTATATATATTTTTTTGGAAACAGAAATTACATTGATCAACAGATTATACATATATTTAAAGCTTTAATTTGTCAACTTTATATAATTTTAAGAAGAAATCGAATATTTAAGAAGAACAATTCATCAGCAGTTACATTGTTTTAATTTGGATATATATTAAAAAAGGAGACTTTCAAACCTTAAAAAATTCAATAAATATTGCAACAAAAAAAGTCGTTTTGTTCGTTGAACTTTTGTGTTGTGCAAAAAGTGTTGGAACCTAATTAAATCTAATTTCGAATGACTTAAAGCAGGCACGTGTGTGCCCTCTGCATTCCCAATTGACATTGAAACTCTTCAATTCTATTAACAAGTTCTTAATTTAAATTACCAATTGAATTTTCTACTGCATTCTTTTCGGTGTGTCCGATTTTAGATTCCCTAAAATTACATATTAAAACCCCATTAAAACCCCCTCGAAAGTTTCTAAATGAAAATTTCTTCAAGGTCGCCTAACTGCCAGTGAAAACTTGTCACCCTTGAAAAGTGAAAGACAATCCCTAAAGGGGTCATGTCATGCCAAAATCTTAACTCAAGGCTTGTCCACTTCTTGATGATCTGATCACGCAGACAATAAGGGAGAAGCAACACACCAATCCGACCAGACCCAGTTACGACAATGGACAATAAGAAAAGCATGGCGAGGAATCGCATCGCACCCAAAATGCCAAAAGGAAATGCGGCACAAAAGATACTTAATCTTATAGGTAAACCCGATGAATGATGAACGAATGGCGGCGACGTAACCGAACCCCCGATCCGTCGATCCGGCGATCGAGCTCGAACGCAAGCCCAAGTCATTAAAAACTACAATACACAAACTGCATACGAATCACTCGAAGACCCTAAGAAAGGGTCTCTTAAGGAGAGGGGGAAGGGACGTCGCCGGAGACCGGGATACGGAGCCAGAAAAAAAAAAAAGAAATATCAGAAGCGAAGATCGTGAGAAAATGGTTTGGAACGTGGTTCTCACACGATCGACACACCTGCCCTTTTTTATGTGTGTGTGTGTTTGTGTGTGTGTGTAGCAGAGGACGAGAGGGGTTGGCTGTATTTTTACGAATTCAAGATACAAGACCACTTACGGGCAAGATCACGACCGACTCGAGCTGCTATGCTATGCCTGTGGATGTGGCTCTATACCTACACCCAAACCCGAACTCAGGCCATACCCACACAGCGTTCGACATGAAAGAGAAAAGCAGCGTGCGGTAAGTGTGTCTCACTGCTGACTTTTGTGCATTGGCCAACATTGTAATGACTGTGGACACACGATCGTTAAGAGCGCGCCGTGTGATCTGGACAGAAGGGGTTGGGTTGGGTCGGGAGCTGAAGCTGAAGCTGAAGAGCTTGAGGTTCGGATTGGACTCGGATTCGGCGCATGCGTCGCTGTTTTGTTGAACGAACTCAATTTAGTTGGTTTACGACCAAAAAGCAAGAGCGAGCGGGATGCAAGTGGAGATGGTTATGGCTATGGAGATCGGAGATTGGAGTGGGAGATGTGGTAGATCTGGTAGATGGACGCGGAGTTAGAGAGGGGGTCTCTGGGATGGCTCTGAAGCACACTTATATGGTGTGCTATTGACTCTGTAATATCTTTAATATGGGATGTTGTTACACTACATTGGCACACGCTCTGGCTGCCACTGGACGCGCTGCCTCTGTGTCTGTATGGGAATGGATGTTGCCGGACTTTGACTGAGACTGGAGTTTAAGGCACGAGTGTGTCCCATCCATTTCCATTCCCACCGCCGCGGCGGTCCGGTTTGCCGCCGCCTCTCCTTTATTAAGTGGTGGTCTTGCGCTCACTTTAATATCGCTGCATTAAACTTCGGACTTTGGCGGCAGCGTGTGGAGTATTATGACTGAAGTAGGTGGCCGGAGACCCGGTTCCCGCGGTGCCTCCGCCACACAGAGGTCATGTGATGGATGATGTGTGGCTCTACTGTACCTTGGGGGTTTACTGTGAGGAAAACAAGGTGATTTTGGGTAAGGTTCAGAAGCGGGAAATGGGTTAAGAAAGGATAATAAGTTGATCTTATAATTTTTTAATATTTTAATTATTATTTACCAATTACCAATTTAACAATTAAATTTCCTTTTAAGACTTGTCACTTTAGCTTTTTATCCTCCTCTACCAGACATTAGCTTGCTTTAAATTGGCCAGACAAGGCTAAAGTTTGCGCAGATAAAGTCTAAAAACGGACAAGTTCAATTGGAGACCCCGTCGTTCCGACTCGTAAACCAAGTCACCCAATTATCCGCCGGCTATTACCAAGGCTGCAGCTCTGCCAATCGAGACTCTACTCAGCTCGTGTCCAGTGATCGCTTTCCAAGTGCTCGATCACAAAATAGATCACCTATTTGAGCCAACTACCGTTGAGCCCTATAAATAGCCGTTTTGTAGCCCAAAAAAATATCAAAAAAATGGGTAAAGAAGAGCCACAAAAAACCCGAGGCGAGTCTCATGCCAAAGTTACGTGACTAATCACATTTCGCGAAGATTAACAGCAATCAGCGACGGCTTGAACGGTCCCAGACTCGCGGCGACCCGGTAAGTAGTCATCATCATAGTTGTCCACCAGACACAAAAGCGCTGAGCCGGGCCTCAAGTTCCGTAATCGAACCTCACTCAGAAACACGCATACTGGCCTGGACACATCTGAATGGAGTGGAGTTTTAAGTGGCGAGACGGTCGCGGTCGCGAGCTTAATTTGCAATGTCTGGCGGACCGTCTGACTGTCCGTCCGTCTCCGGCGCATGTGCCAAGCGGTCAAGCGCAGTTAAAGCTGTCAAAGCTTAAAGAAAACGAAAAAAAAACCACACAATGGCCACAATGCTGAGCCATTGACAGCGGAGCCGCGGTTCTCACACTCGCAGGCCTCATAATAAATGACGTTTCCTAGAACTGACTTTTTGCTTTATTTTTATTATTTAATTGCGACAGCGCCGGCGCAAAACTTCCCGCAGATATATGTTTGTCTGTGTACGTGCCCCCATGGAAGCCCCGATCCCCGCTAGCCCCACTTTGCGGGGCATAATGAGGCCAAGTCAGAGCCAGAGAGCCCAGACGATAGTCCGAGTGTGGGAAAATATTCAGCGACTTCCGGCTGTGGGCCGCCGCCGCGGAGTTTATCTCCAATTCGTTTCTTGTTTTATGGGATTTCTGGTTGCGGTTGGACGCCTACTAAGAGCTTGAGAACCCTCGGAGTAATCAGTGTAAACCCTAAATGAACTCTGGCTTAAAAAAGGAACTAAATAAGTGAAGGCTTTGGAATAGGTTTTGATTTTTAAAGATTTTTTATTTCTTATTTTGATTTCAGTTTTCAGTTTTGCATTTTCTTTAAGCAGCTTGAGCACTCTCTATAGCCGGAATTGAAGGCTCTGCTAGAGAGCACAGTCCAGGCTGCTGGGGGGAACCAATCCCGGCCAACAGCCAAGCTCTAGCTCCAAGGTGTGACGGTTCCAGCACCTCTTTGAAGATGACCCCCTTCACGGGACGGGGTGGCGTTTTGTAGAAGCCTTCCGCTCGAAGGCAATTCAGTTCCAGGTCCAGTTCGGACCGATAGCACCTTTCACCAGGGACGCCACATAGGTCCGGATGTAGAGCTGGCCTCGCTGGGCGCCGGACTGCAGGCACCGCTCTCCAGGCTGCCGCATTCCGAAGGCGGCGGTGTGACCATGGTTTGATCCTCAGCTTGAGCTTGAAGAGGCACTCCAATGGGCAGCGATGGCACCACCACTTGCAGGTAGTTGAGGCGATGGCCCAGGTGGCTCATCAGCTGAGTGCCCAAATCCACACTCACTCCGGGCACAGCGGCCAGCGTCTTGGAGACCTCGTTGGCTGCATGAACATAGCCAGCGCGGAAGCTCTCGGCAATGCTCAGCTTGGGATCGGCTCCAGCTGAGACTCCTCCACCGGCGGCAACACTGGACAGACGCAGCTGCTTCTGGGCTCGCAGTTTCTTCATGTGCTCCACGGTCAGCTCGAGGATGTCGGCCTTCTCCAGCCGTGTGATATGCTCGCCCTCCTGTGTGAGGCACTCCACCATGATGTCCTTCAGCTCGTCCAGGCACTTGTTGATACGCGCCCGACGCTTCCTCTCCAGCATGGGCTTCATCACCTTGCGGTACTGATAAGTCTTGGACATTTCCATCTCTAGCACCATGTCTCGCAGTCTCTTGATTCTCGATGCAAACTCGCGTAATCCACAGAAGTTATTGTATAGGAACAGGCAGACCTGTGTTCACGCAACGAAGTCAGAGCTTTGAATGAGTCGCTGCTGGCTCTGGGATCGGCTTTATATAGCCTCTGCCGTCCGGGGATCGCGGCATGAGTGCGAGCGAGACTGTCGTTTTGCCTCGTGCGCGGCCTGCCGCTGTTGCCAGCGGTGGTTTCCAATGGTGCCTGGTGATGGTGGTGGTGGTGGTGGTGGTGGCTTCTGTTTTTTTGTATGCTTTGCACACGCTGAGTGTACTGTGTGTGTGAGGGCAATAAAATGACTTGAGCCGAACCCCGCTGCTCCCTCTTCCGCTCTCACTCGCCCCTTATGTATGTGTTGTGATTGTTATACCGTGGGAAACTGTTTCGCAGCCGATTTCCACGACGACGATGACGACGACGACGGCTGGCCTGACTTCTTCTGATTGTGCATGCTTGGGGTCTTGTACGATCCCAGGTCTGTCCGCTGTCCCATGTCCGCCCCGCACGTCCCTCTCCCTCTCCCTCTCTCCTTCTCTTCGGGCACAGGCCGCCTTTAAGAGGTCTGTGCGACTCGGGATTCGAGATGCGATGCGATGCGATGCCACTCGGCAGCCGGGCGAGCACATGCCTTCCATCCATAACAAGATGTTTGCATTTCAATTCATTTGTATGGCTCGGGGTCCGGTCTTCGGTCTTCGGTCTTGGGTCTTGGGTCTTTTGGGCTTACCAGCGGAGAGTCTTTCGGGTCTGGGTCTGGGGTTTGCCATGTGCCTTCACCCTTTTGCAGTAGCTTATGGCACGCTGATAATTGTGGAATCGTCATCGGGCCAGCGTTGTTATTTCTTCTTTTTTAGCGCTTTATGGATCATTGATTGGATCGTGGTAGTCGTGGGTTTCGTGGGACGAGCATTACGCTTTTCGTTTACATGATTATTCTTGATTGTCGGTTCGGGGCTTTGGCTTTGGCTTAGGCTTTGGTCGGGGGGTTTTTGGATATTGGTTTGCTTTTCCTTTTGGGCTTTGGCTCTGGCTCTGGCTCTTGGCTCTTGACTGGTGTGAGAGTCGGGGCTTTTGGGTCGACGCTCGCTTCTATTTGTAGACAATTACCGGGCGCGGAATCGGTGGGAACCGATCGGAATCAGCTTGGACTTCGACTTTGGCTACGAGCGCTAGCACACGCTATGAACGCAGTGGCTCGTGGGGTCTACACGGTATATATTTAGCACATTGGCTATTATTATTTTTAGCGCTAAGTCCGTTCAGTGATTCATCAAGCTGAGAGAGAAAAGACTCATCCGCCGGCATCTGACACATCTTGAAGCAGCTCAGCTCAGCTCGGCTCAGGTTTCACTATATTTAATTAGAATGACGACGACGATGATGACGATGGGCAGCAGTGACACGAGCCCGGCTCATTGGCATACAAATAACAAAAGGCGGCTACATATAGCAAATAAAGACAAACACAAATAAGACAAATTAAGACTGCCCCTCGACGCATCCAAAATGAGCTACAGTTAGCGGAGACAAACGGCTATAACAATAAGCGGCCCAATACAATCAGTTAGCAACTTATCTAACCGAAACCGAAAACAAAACCGAAACCAAAACCAAACCGTTTTGTCAACTGGACTGGGAGACCGTTAATTTTTAAATGTCAGAAAGCTGAGTGCTCCGGAAATGTCTAATTGGATGTCATAGGTGGTCCTGTTTAGGAAAGTGTCAAGGGGTGGGAATTCTAGGGGAGGTTGGTGACACCTTTTAGGGGTGATATCGGGTAATATTTGCAATATTTCAGAACTATGGATTTTCTAATTGGATATTTATACGGAAATTACATTATTTTCCAACATAAGCAATAGGGATTTGAGATCCCTTAAGGAGGTGCCTGAAAGTATGCAATCAAAGCTTTCAGGACACTTCTTTAAAGAGATTTTCAAACACTAGAAGTTCTTTGTATCGTTTTTACCAAAGTCAACCTTCCAAATCCAAATTTTTTTCAAGAATAATTATATAAAACTATCTGGAAAATGAGAATAATATTTTCTTGATTTAAAAACCAATTTTATGGTAATATAATTGTATATAATTAACCAATTAGTAAGATTATTTTTGTGATCTATGATTTTCGAATACAATATTTTTTGAGGGAACTTTTTTCAACCATTATAATGCCTATACGGATTTATATATAATTTCTAAGCTTGACTACTTCTGAATCACTGCTGTAATTCGTATCATTAATGCCAATTGTCGTAATTAAGGAACCCAGTGGAGGGGCACGTGCCCTTAATAGATTAAATCAAGTGTAACAAACGGAAAATTGAATGCAAAAGCACAATCTGCTGGCTTTCTTAACTAATAATAGAACCCTATATAACTTATTTCTTAACGATGCAAATGCCACCAGCTGACTAATAAGGAAATGCCGCCAGCAGGAACTCTACTCCGCTCTGAAAGTGATTCATCCAGAAGTCGGTTCAGAATTACGCCAAGTTCTGCAACTCTCCTCATGTAGCGCATATCGCCCAGTCGCTTAAGACCAACTGGCATTTATACACCCAATCATCCAAAAACACATACACTCACTCAGCCGTATTCGTATATATCCGAAGACCTCATTTCTCTCGCTCGCTTTATTATTTCTCTGAGCTGCTGCCGCTGCTGTTGTTGCTGCTGCTGCTGTTGTTGCTGTTGCTTTTTGTTAAACAATTTTTTTATCGATGGCATACGCACGCGCGAATTTCAGTGCCCCCGCTGAGACAGGCGACCAACATTCGGGCCGCGATCGCCCCCGGGGGCCATTGTGGGGTTAAGAGGGGGGCGGCAGCTAGAGAGGCGGGTCGGTGAAGGGGCGGGACGGGAGCAGCAGCACGAGAGCGTGCAAAGCTCGAAGACCCAGAGTAGGAACAGTGAAAAAAATGTATGATATTTATAAGTTTGGGAGAATTAATATAAATTTTAAAAAGAAGAAATTGTTTAAATATTTAATTTTAATTATATTAAACATAGAACTCAGACCTTTAAGTGATGCAATTTTTCAATATTAATACTTTAAAAATAATAAAATAAATAAATAATAAAAAATAAACAAATTGTATGTTTAAACATTTAAAAATATTTTTGTAAGATTGCAGCTTAATTTATAAGTTCAGAAAAATATTTTTTAAAAATTTGAAATATGCCAAGAACTCTGCCTAAGCTTAAACTGAACTGCTTTGATATCTTTTGCTGATTCTAAATCACTTCAAAATACAAATTAAATAAAGTATAATTAATTTATTAACAATTAAAGCACCCAATTTGAATCTCAGTGTATCTGTAGCGTGTTGTTGAATTAATTTATATCCAACAGTGCGCTTTCAACTTTATTGCGCCGCGAAAAGCAGCCAGCCAAGTCAGCAGTCGTCGGTGCTCGGTGTTCGGAGCTCGGAGCTCCCCCCCCGCAAACCCACACAGTCCGTGGATACACCAGCTCACAGATACAGCACACACACACACACCAGGGCAGGCCGGACCGTGGGAAACAAACTCGTGCCAGTCGTTTCATTGCTGTCAAATAATATCTTGATGGGGATCAACTTGAAAAGATTGGTTGGGGCTTGGGCCCGGGTTCGGGCTCGAGCTCGGGCCGAGCTTGCCGTCTCTGTCGCCCTCCTCTGACGGTTGCCGCTGTTTAGGATGCGGTCGACGCTTTTGTTTTTTTTTTTTTACTTTTTACTCTTTTTTTTTTTTGTATTTTTTTTAGATCTCTTTTTTAATGCTTTACACATTTGTTCGTCATAGCCGAGCGTTAAGTATGTGTGTCCATGATGGGGACACTAAAAATAAAAGAGTTATAACTTCAAAGGGGTTACCTTGCGGTTCATAGATCATTGAGGGTCTTTTATAGTAATATTTATTTAATGTTTTCTTTAACTTTAACATTAAAAACTATACACAAAATAAAGCAAACAAGTATTTATTTCAAGGCAATTGTTGCTTTCTCGCACGTGCCTGCCTCGAGTTTGCATTAAATAACCCACATAAACGGCTATTGAACCCAAAATGTATGTGTTATTACACTTTTTAAGCATACATTATATATTAATAAACTGTATACTGATGGTTTCTCTCAGTGCAAACCAACTGGCATTGGCATCTCTTGTGGTGTATGTAAAGATCCAAAAAGCCAGAAACCAGTTTGCCATCCGCCAAAGCCAGTGGACTCTGCTCTGCGGCTGCTGGGATGCCGACACATACTCCATTCGGGAGATCACATGAAAGACCCGGCACACCTCCAACTGCAGCCTTGCAGCCTTATGGATGGATCCCCAGCCCCTTTTAACCAGCGGCTTGTGAATGGCTCCTCCGCCTGCTTTTATGCACTGTTTGTTGTGTGTACACACAACCAACTTGGGCACTTGGCACGTTGCCCATTATCTCGCGGCAACCGAGGATGAAGCTGTGGCAAGGGGCTTTTAGGCTTGTGAAGATTTCGAGTGCATATATCATATTACCACCACCACTACCACCAGCAAGCAGAGATGCACCATCATCATCATCATCGCAATTCCTGGAGCCTCCAGGCCCCCAGCCGGAGCTGTCAGTGGGCCCCTTGACGGGAGGCCTCTGCCTCTCGCTGGCAACGAGATCCCCCCAAAAGACTCCCACTTTAGATTCCGATTTCACATAAACACTGTGTCAGCTAGGCTTGGCGGGGGATCCATTAGTTGCGCAGATAAAAAGAGCCATTAAAAATGGGACGGGATCCCCCGATGTCCCCTAGGCATAGCTATAGTCATTCAAAGTATGCTCATATCTCCCCTAGCTCGCTTTGCACACACTTTATCCCCGGGCCTTATCGAGTAATCCTCGGCAACTTGAAAATCCTCCCTATCGCTCCACACTTTCAGCACACTTGGGCCGCAAGAAGGGAATTAATTAAAATATCTATAAGATTTTCTACACACACACACCCCTAGGGAGAGTTTTCCCAATAAAGGCCGAGGGAAGACAAGTGGCAAGGACCGTGTTTTATTGGTGGTGGTTTTGAGAACGATTCGAGCTCTGTGGGAAAGTTGGAAAGAAATCAAAACACCATAA